CCCTATCTTGGAACCTGACTGTGGACTGAAACCTCTTCAAACTGTGAGCTAAAATAAACCTTTTCTGCTTTAACTTTTAGGTGTCAGTATTTTGTTCTAATGAAGAGAAGGTAACTGCAACAGTTTTGGTATTTGAGAAGTATGTTTATTGTTGTAACATTACCTTCAGGAGCCTTTGGAACTGGCATGTGGGAGGGGTTTGGAAAGATTTGGAGATGCTGGCTGGAGAAATAGCCCTAGGATGCTATGGGCTGATTGATGGGAGTTTCTGGGGAGAGCTCTGCTCGAAATCCAGCCATTTCAGCTAGGGACAAGGAAGGCACTGGCAAATGGACTCCAGGCCATATGTGTTATGCTCTGGCAAAAAAAAAAAAAAAAATCTACATTTTTCCTATGGTCTAGAGGTTTTTCTCTTTTTCTTTTTGGTCTGGGTTTCTCCGTGCAGTTTGGGCTGAACTTGAACTCACTTTGTAGACCAGGCTGGCTTCAGACTAGCTGAGATCCTCTTACTTCAGCCTCCCAGAGTGCTGGAATTACAGGAATGTGCCATCATGCTTGGTCCAGAGATTTTGTGGGAGTCTGTGGTTAAATGCAGTAGTCTAATTAATCTGGCAGAAATTTCAAGGCAGTCTAATGTTGAGGGAATGGCATGGCTGATGGGAGTTTTTAGCCAGCTATACCTTGAGAATCAAGAACAAACAGCGAAGCAGAATGATTTAAAGTCTTGAGTTTGGCCAGAAAGGAATCTGCAGTAAAGTTTTGGCCTGAAAATATGAAGCAGAGGAAGACTTGATTGCTGAAAAGAGTATCATTAAAAAGCCAGATACTTTGAAGTTGGGAAGTTGAATCACTGTGAGTTCAAGACCAGCCTGGGCTACGTAGTGAGTTCAAGACCAGCCTGAGCTATAAAAGAAGACCCTTCTCAAAAAAAAAAAAAAAAGAGCCAAGTACTTTGGAAAACGTAGCCTGAAGGCATCACAAGAACTAGGAAGACTCCACCCATTGTTCTTTAGGATGAAGTTCATAGCCTTCAGCCATCCAGGCACTTGACCCCTACAATCAAGAGAGAAGAAAGCCTGGTTACTGCTCCACTTGGTGACAGACCTTGGCATCATCCACATGGTGTTGGTTTCTTTAGCCATGTACTACAGAATGGAAGAGTTGTGGGATCAGGAAGGCTTCCACTCAGATTTCAAAAGGCTTGAGAAGCCAGGCAGTGTGCTCAAGAGGGCAGTGTGTAAAGTTACCAGTATGAAGCCAAAGTGCTGTGGTGACCCCAGGATATTGGAGAGGACAGGAATGTGGATCATCTGAGGAAAGCTCCAGGGAATGAACAAAGCCAGCTCAAGAGAGACCATGAGGGTTACAACCACAGGCAGTGCTGTGGGGCAGGGCCATCCAAGTCTTTTGGAATTCACTTCTTGACACAGATTGCCCCAGGTGCTGGACATGGATTTAATGTTTGCTGTGTTGGAATTTGGTCTCACTTCAGTCCCATTTCTTTCTATCCCCTTATTTCTAGCTTTTGGAATGGCATTGTTTATTTTGTACCACTGAATGTTGGAAATGTTTTTCTTTTCATTTTTGTTTGTTTTGTGGTACTGGGGACTGAACTCACGACCTTGTGCTTGCCAGGCAGGCACTTACACCACTGAGCTAAATCCCCAGCCCTTTTCTTTTCATTTTTACCAAGGCTCACAGTTAAGGGTTTGCCTTAAATCTTAGAATTTAGATTTGAACTTTTCAGCAATACTGAACTATTGGAATTTGGTGACTCTTAGAGATGAGCTAAATTACATTTTGCATAAAGGAATGCACATGAATGAGGGGGTTGGGTAGAATGTTATGGTTTATATCTAAAATGTTGCCCAAAGCCTCATGCACTCATAGGTGGGTTTTTAAAAATAATTAATTTTTATGCCAGGGATCGAACTCATGACCTTGTACTTGCCAGGCAGGCAGTGTGCTGCTGAGCTATATCCCTGGCCCATAGGTGGGGCTTTTGGAAATTGAATGGGTTGCAGGTGTGTGATACTGGAATACTCCACTGATGGGGTTTATAGCTGGGCAAGATGTTTGGAGGTAAAACCTGGTAAAAAGAGGTGGGCCATTGGCGTGGCTTGGGACAATATATATTGCTCTCCTCCTACCTTGATCCTGTTCTGCTTTCTTCTCTGCATGCTGCCCTGCCTTAAAGCCAGCTGACTATGAACTGAAACTTCTACAAACTGTGAACTAAAATAAACCTTAGTCCCTTTAACTTGTGGGTATCAGGTATTTTGTCTCAGCAACAAGAAAATAACTAAGACAGTAAGAAAGGTTGTCTCAAGAGTTGAAAGTCAGCTGGGGATTTAGCTCAGCGGCATAAGCGCCTGCCTTGCAAGCAGGCAGTCGTGAGTTCCATCCCTGGTACCAATGAAAAGGAAAAAGACAAAAAAAAAAAAAAAAAAAAAGAGTTGAAAGTCAGCCAGGTGTGGTAGCACACACTAGTTCCAGCATTCTGAGGCTGAGGCAAAAAGATCACAAGCTCAGCTTGGACAATTAGAAAGTTAGTGAGGCTGTATCTTACAATAAAAATTTGAAAAAAGGGCCAGGGTGTAGTTGAGCGTAAAGGTCCCATTTTTCACAACTAGAAGAACTTGGTTCTAGTAACACATACACACACACCCCTGCTAAAAAAGAATATTACTCTACTGACTCAACAAAAACGCAACTTCCATGGCACAATGCAGAAGACATACTATGTTTCCTAAAACCAAGAGCTAGAAAGGAAAGATAGAGCGTGGGTGAGAAGAGGGAAGAGGATTGAAAGTGGAATTGTCAAAGAAAGAAAGGAAAAAGAGGAATGTTCCTGTTTTATTTGTTTAAATGGAATGTCCTAAAGGAAATCAAATTGTCTAATTCAACAGCACCTGGCGGTATACACTTGTAATCTCAGCATTTGGAAGCTGAGGCAGGAAGATCATGAGTTCAAGGCCACTTGGGACACATAACAAAAGTCAAAGCCTGCCTAGAATACATAGTGAGACCCTGCCCCTAAAAAAGAGCACATTCAGGACTATAAAATGCATTTAAGAATTGGGATGAAAACCTGAAGAGTACTCAAATATTGCTAAGAATATAAACTCTGAAAGGTTCTTGCCCTAATATAAATTACTGTACAATTATGGCTGTGGTCTAATGTGACAGAAGACCAAAGCAGTAACGCTTACCAATTAATTCCTCCTCCTCCTCTAGCCCTAATTGCAATTCCCTTTCCTGTTTGTGTACAAAGAGAATTTCAATCAGTTCCTCACATGTCATCAATATCCGCCCCATGCACCACTTCCTATCAGAGGTCCTATAACCCTCTGCCTCTCTGTATCAGATCAAAGGAGAGCCCAGCCGCTATGGGTTATGTGCTCCTTTCCATATCCTTAATAAACTTGTTCTTTTTTTACTTTTTGCTTCTCTATTGTGCCAGATAACTCTAACAAACTCTAGAGACAAAGAATCCAAATCTAGCAAACTGAGCTCTTAAGAGGGGTCCCTAACAAGCATAGTTGTTAGGTAACAATATTACAGACTACTTACAAATTTCCTAAGGAGCCAGGCGTGGTGGCACATGCCTACAATCCCAGCACTCAAAAGGCTGAGGCAGAAAGATTACCACAAGTCCAAGGTCAGCCTGGACTACACAGACTTCAAGGTCAAACTGGACTACAGTGAATTCAAAATCAGCCTAAATTACATAATGAGACCTTATCTCAAAACAAAACGAAAAACAAACTCACCTGGGAGGGGGGGACTATTCCAAACATAAGGGATCTGCCTTGCCCCAGTATACTAGCCTTTTGTTTGAAAATGCAGGAAGGAGATAGGCTGGTGGCTGACTTTTTGTCTGAGATTATTTTCCCTGGAGCATTGCCCAATCTCATCCTTATTTTCAGAATCCAACTTTTTTTGTCCTTGATAGCAAAACCTGGCTTTGTTATAATTCAGGTAATTATTTTTGTTTTTCATGCTTTGCTTTTGCTCTATAATCTGTACTCCCCACCCTAGTACCTGCTATGAAACGGGATAAATGCTACCACAAAGAATGTTAGAACTGCCTGAGCTCAGTATTTCCATGATATTTAGGTCAATATTGGCCCTCTTTCCTAATGTAGACAAGAAGTATAGAAAAAATGCGCCACGAACTGGTCTTAAAACTTGAATATTTGTGTCTATCATCTATTTTTTACTTAAGGATGACTGTTTTGGGGGAGGAGGGAGCTACAAGTTGACAGGAACAAGGCAGGGACCAAGTGGACACCGGAGGCAAGAGCTATAGAGTTCAATCTGACATCTTTGTGGAAACCAAATGGCAAGAAAAGTTGGAGCATTTACCCTTTACCAGCCAGATTCCAGTGCTGCACTGGATTCAGCCTGGAGTCCCACCTCACGGACACCAAGGGAAGCCAGGTTTTCTCTGGTACAGCGTTCTCAGGAGAGACTACCCTACTGCTGACTGGGCCTGGCTCTAAGGGCCAGACAAAAGACTTTTTTGGTCTCCTGTGGAAATAAGTCCAATTATTTGAAAACCATGGAGTATAGTAAAACTAGACAAAAACAATTTCTCCTAAATCAGTCATGGCCACACATGATAATGTATACATGTAATCCCAAGCACACAGGACTGCTGAAAATTCGAGGCCAGCCTGGGCTATAGAGCAAGACTGTCTCAAAAAAAGGACTAAATCAACTGAGGCACACAGCTTCTCAGGAACCCTGTATCTGCTGAGCCCCACGTCCACCACACACTAGCTTAGGTGCTTGATCCTTTATCGTTGCAACTCTGGGTTACAGTCCTATCGCCACACTCACCCCACTGTGATGTTTCAGTATTTCATGACCGGTGGCTTTGGCTTTTTGTCCCTTTGGTAGCCTGGTGAAACTGATAAACTTAGGCTTTAAATGGTTTTTCAATGGATAAAATACACAGCAGTACAAAAACAAACCACACACACACACACACTGGATTGATTACAAAAGAAACCAACTATATTAGAACACAGTTCTGGACTCCAGAGGTCTGGCAGGAACTCCTTGAGTGCAGGGACCGTGTCTTTATCTCTGCACAGCCAGTGCCTAGCACAAAGCCTGGCACGTAGATGATACTTAGAAATGTTTATTTAATGAATGAATAGAAAGGTAGCTATTGTCAAGTCAGCCTGAGAAGTGATCCATTGCAACTGCTTGTGCATACATCAGTGGCTTGCATATGTTTCACCCCATCTAAAACCATTCAGATTGGGGCTGTGAAGGAACTGACGACCAAGAACAGGTACCATAGCAGATAGTAGTGACTGGCTACTGGAAGACCAGGAAAACAACAAACTCATTATTTCACCTGCTGGAACTTTCAGAGCTAAAGTAAACAGGCTCTGTCTTTTTAGAAGGAGGTGGTGGTACTGGGAATCAAACTCAAGACCTTGCACTTGTCAGGCAGGCACTGCCCCGCTGAGCTACATCCCCAGCCCCCCAGGCTCTCTCTTAAGATCTCTTCAGTTTGGAAGTGAGGTGCTCCAACTTCCATAAAACACTACCAACAGTTCTGATGAAGGAAAAAAAGAAACCCGAGCTAGCTTGCTGATATTCCCCAGGCACCTCTGCTATCCTGAATTGGGTCTCATCTCTAAGAAAGAGAAGAGCACCCCTAAAGACCACCATAGGAATGAGATGTTCCTTTTAGGTTGAGGTGGTAGTGTCAGTCTTAGCCAAAACTTTTGTTTTTGTTTATGTACCAAAAGAAAAACTAAACAAGCAGGAAACAAAAGCTACTTCTGTCTTACAGATACATAAAGGGCCAAAAGGTGTGTTCTAAACTGAGTGCTGAGTTCTATAAAATATTTTAAAAAGAAAAAGAAAACCCCAATTTTAAAGCAGAAACTTGCTACTAAATGGGGTGCATAAATTTTACTTTTATAGCTTTTAAGAGACCCTCCCAAGTAAGAAGGCTTCTCTGAAAGATGGCAGGATGCAGTTTTCAGACGCTTGATGGGTTTCCCAACATCTGTGGGAAGAAACATGGCTTCAAGTAGGTGCCTTCTTTGAAGGAAACAAACTAAAACCAAAAGAAAAAAAAAAAAAAAGCAAACTACAGGTCAAAATTTGCTTTTAATAGAAAAAAAAAAAATCCTCCCATTCCTAAGGTATGTGCTTTCCTTTTTGACCTATTTTTCCTTTAAGTTGTCTGCAGGTTCCCTATATTTTTCCTAGTGCAGTAAACAATGCAATCAAAGAAATAAAAACCAGGGTCCACTCTTGCCCCAAATACTGAAGAGGGTCAAAGAGAAGGAATCACAGTATGGAAAATGGCCCAGCTCCAAATATACAAACATTTTACAGAGAAAAAGAAAAACAAAAACAACAAAACAAAATACCCCCCAAAGACATTATTATTGATGTTCCTGGTGCATATTCTAGAGCATAATATCACAATGTTTCTTTCCCAGAGTCTGGCTCACCAAGGAGACAGCGAGTTTGTGCCTCAGGAAAGGCTGGGGGTGTTTACCAGTCTTCCCTGCCAAGCGGAAGGCTTTGTAAGAGCTCAATCTCTTAACAGAAACATCTGTGGTATAAATGAGTCTAAAAGGGGACAAAGGCAGGCAGGCACCTGTCACTTCTCCAAATCAGCCAAAAAGCTTAAGAGTGTGGGACTCAGGGACAGATGCCATTAAGAGTTGAGGGATGGAGGGAAGAACAAGAGGAAGCACCAAAATGAGTGGCTGTTTTTGGTTCCAAAGCCAAAAAAACCCAAAACAAAACAAGCCCTACTGAATATGGCAGCTGGTCTGGATGAGGAACTCCCCTGCTCCTGGAGTCATGCAATAACAATAATGGCTTTGGAGCCCCAGCCCCATGACAGCCACAGTTCAAGGACCAGAGCAATTTACACCATATCACACTGTATGCAAAAGAATGGACTGATCCCAGGTTGGGAGGGTAAGTGCTTTGACAACGTGGGGAGCAAGGTGAGCTCTCACTTTGAACCCCAAAGCATGCCTGGGCTGTGGCCTTCCTTTTCTTTCTTTCTTTTTTTTTTTTTCCTTTTTTTCTTTTTATCAGTACCGGGGATCGAACTAACGACCACCTGCTTGCAAGGCAGGTGCTTATGCCGCTGAGCTAAATCCCCAGCCCCTGCTGTGGCCTTCCTTGATTGCCATTTCTGCAAAACCACAGGCCACCGCTGCCACTTGTTCTGTGGAGATGTACCCTTCTGTTTGCCAGCAACATGGCACCTCTGGTAGGAACCCTCAGAGATCTCAAGGGCACCAGTTACATTTCAATAAGACAAGTAAGAGCCTTGCCTCATCTTTGCCAAACCAGTTCCCTTTTTAAGCTGCTGCCAGCGAGCTACCTTCCCCTCCAAGCAGAGTTCAACTTCCGTTTGTTTCAGAGCCTTTAAGGATACAAAAACATAACACTGGGTTGCCTTCCAGCATCATATCTGCGTTCCAGAGTTTGGTCCATGCATCTTTACAAGCATAAGACCAAGTGTACACAGATAGACTAGTCTGAAAAGGGTCCTGGTTCCTTTGATGCCTCCTCTAAAAGAAACAACTTTCTTAGAATAAGATGGTGAGGACATTGAGTGAACTCTCAACTTCTGGAAGGGTAGCTTGTTTTGTCCATTTTTCAATGACAGGATGGGAGGAACCCAACATTTTCAGTTATGACAATGAGATTTTTGTTTTTGTAAAAAAGGATCCTATGTGGAAATGAATGGGACAATGATAAAAATAAACAAATAATTAAAATTCCAAACCAAAACATTTCTCCTGGCCCCAAGATCCTAGTCAGTCCTCTAAGACTACAATCTCCACATTGTGGACTTGATGCTGATGTTCTTCCATCTCAGCCACAACTTTCTCCTCAGTCCTCAGCTCTGTCTCCAAGATGACTGCTTTGCTCTCAGTGTCTTCAGCCTCAGGGTCTGGGGCTGGGTCAATTTCAATGATGGTCTGCCCATCCTCTGAGGTGCTTTCCACGGCCTGGATTGCTGAGGTCAGGCCAGACTCCATGGCCACAAGCTCCACAGGGCTTACCATGGTAGCCATGTTGCCCAGGGTACTGCCATCCTGCATGGTGGTGGAGCTTAGCAGTGCCAGGCTAGATGATGGGTGGATGGTCACTGTGTCTGGTGAGCTACTTTTGGCCGAGGAGACCACTGTGGCGTAGCGGAAGAGCTGAGGGCCAGAAGGCAGTGTGTGGACAGTCACAGGGCTGGAGCCCTGGCTGAGTGTGGCCACTGGAATATTGCCCATGGAAAAAGACTGACCCACAGGGGTGATGGTGATGGGTGAGATGACTGTGAACTGAGGCTGCTGCTGGACGGGAGGAGACGGGCTCAGGACAGTGGTGGAGGCTGGCCGCTGGAGCCGGGGCCTTTTTGGAGGTTTTGGAGTGCTCACAGGCATCAGTACCACATTTTGAACTGTCTGGGATTTTAGCCTATGATCCTGGGCTTGCTTCTTTTGCTCTTCCAGCTGGCGTTCCAAGTCTAGAGGGAAAACAAAAACAAAAACAAAAACAAGACTATGTAGAGGGAAGTATAATCTTGGGCATATTGAGTGGGGAATCAGCTGACATGTCTTGCCCTACTTTACCTACTACACAGTGTCAGGCAAGTCACTCCATTATCTGTCTTTCTTTCTTTTGGTACTGGAGATGAAATCCAGGATCTTCATATTCACACTGAGCCACATTCCCAATTGCTTTTTTTTTTTTCCCCAATTGCTTTTTATTTTTTATTAAAAAAAAAAAAAAAAAAAAAAAGGCTGGGCTTGACTTGCAATCTTTTTGTCTCAGTCTCCCAGAGTGCTGGGATTACAGGTATGCACTACCACACCAAACTCCATTGTTTTGAAAATGACTAGACTATGCCTGACAAATGCGAGGTCAAAAGTTCGATCCCTGGTACCACCAAAAAAAAATCAAAGAGAGAGAGAGAGAGAGACAGACAGACAGACAGACAGACAATGATTAGATTGGAAAATTCTTTAAAATTTTATTTATTTATTTACTTTTTTATGGGTACCAGGGATTGAACTCACAACTGCACACTTATAAGGCAGGTGCTTATGACACTGAGCTAAATCCCCAGCCCCCTGACTAGATAATTTTAAAAATCCCCTCCAATTAAGAGAGAAGGGAGGGGAGAAAAAAAAAAGGGAGAAATTAAAAAAAAAAAAAAAGAAAGAAAGAAAAAGATAAAAAAGAAAACATGGAAATAAAGCTTTGTAAATAGGGAGGGGACGAGAGGTTGAAGGGAGGGTGGGGGAATGGGGAAAATAAGTTAAATCATGCACAGGTACAAATTCTCTATTTATGTGATCGTTACATATATCTCAAATGTACCAACACAATCTAAAGTGCAAAAAAAAAGCAAGGAAGACAATGCCGGAAAAAATATAAACAGCTAGATCAATTCAAACCTCTGTAAAATGAATTTTCAGATATTCAAGACTGAAAAAAATAAATAAAAATATCCTCCACTAATTATATTTCATTGTATAATTAATGGCAAGGCAACAGTTAGTTCAGAATCTTTTTTAAACTAAGAGTCTACTTTATTCAACTCTAGAAGCTCTCTGGCATTTTGTCACCTATCTGCAAAATGCAAACCAAAGAAGCCTCCAATTGGACTTTTCTCATTTTTCATTTTCCCAAATTTAGCCCTAGGTTAAAACCCAGGGCCTCAAGCATGCTAAGTACCTACCCTATCACTGACCTACATCTCCAGCCTGTACGTGTTTATGTGTGTATTAATAGTTAGGGGGGGTGGGTTACTGGGGGTTGAGTCCGAGACTTTTACACTTAGTATATCCACAATGATACATCATATTTACATGGTTGTTAGTATGCTATTTCAATGCATGTATACAGTGGGTAGTGATTACATCAGATAATTGGCACATACAAATACAAATAGTACTTCTTTGTGTTAGGAGCATTCAAAATCTTCTCTACTTGTTATTTTGACATTTCAATTAACTGTTGTCAACCACAGTTACTCTACCCTACTATAGAACATTTGAATGTATTCCTTTTATGCACCCTTGTACCTACTAATCACCCTCTCTCCATTCTCCTTTCTCTGTTCCCTCTGGTGGCAAGGGTGGGTGTGTGTGTGTGTGTGTGTGTGTGTGTGTGTGTGTGTGTGTGTGTTGTTGGGCACTGAACACAGAACCTCAAGTATTTTACCACTAGGCATTATCCTCAGTGCTAGTAATCATTATTTTGTTCACTACTTCTCTGAGATCATCCATTTGGTCTCTCTCTCTCTCTCTCTCTCTCTCTCTCTCTCTCTCTCCCTCCCTCCCTCCCTCTCTCTCTCCCTTTCCCTCTCCCTCTCCCTCTCCCTCTTCCTCAGGGTCTGTCTATGCAGGCCTTGAGCTCACTTTGTAGCCTAGGCTGGTCTCAAACTCACAACAAACCTCCTGCCTCTGCCTCCCGAGTGCTGGGATTACAGGCATAGCCACCATGCCTGTTTTTTTTTTTTTTTCTTTTTGGAGACAGAGTCTTGCTATGCAGTTCAGTTTGGCCTTGAGCTCATTTTGTAGTTCAGGCTGGTCTTTAACTTGCAGTGATCCTCCTGCCTCAGCCTCCCATGTGCTGGGATTACAGTCATGTACCACTATGCTAAGCTATCCAGTTGGTCTTATAGCTTGAAAACCCCTGCCTGGGTCTACAGATAAAATAAGGATATGCATTCAGAAGGTTTGAGGCAGGAGGATCCTAAATTGAAGCTAACCTGAGGGTACATAATAAGCTCAAGTCTGAGCTACATAGGAAGACCCTGCCTCAAACAAAACAAAACACTATGCAGGAGGACACATGCCTGGAATCCTATCATTCAAGAGGCTACATAATAAGTTTGAAGCTACTCTGATCTACATAGATACCTGGTCTGAAAAAAACCAAAAAGCAAGAAAAAACAAACAAACAAACCAACAAACCAAAAAACACTGGGTATGGTGGTTCATGCCTATAATCTATGCACTCTGGGAGGCTGAGGCAAGAGGGATCAGAAGTTCGACTCCAACCTGGGCAAAATGAAGAGGCCTGGGTCCAATCCCAAATACCACACATGTGAAAGAAGAGAGAGAGACAGACAGACAGAGATACAGAGACAGAGACAGAGAGAGAGAAGAGAGGGAAAGAAGGATAGAGAGAAAGAAGGAGAGGGGTAGGAAAGGAACAGAAAAGAGAAAGGGGGGCCGGGAATACAGCTCAGCGGCATACGCACCTGCATGGCAGGTGCAAGGTCATGAATTCAATCCCCGGTACCAAAAATTAAAAAAAAAAAAAAAAAAAAAAAAAAAAAAAGAGAGAGAGAGAGAAAGGGAAAGAAGGAGAGGGGAGAGAGGCAAGCGAAGACCATGTGCACAATTTGTTTGCTACTGTCCTGGAGCTGCAAAGAAACTATAAGGACCACAGGGGAAAAACAGTGCTGTCTTTCACAGGATGACCTTATTGCATTTGATGCAAAACTCCTTTGCTGGTGGCCTACACTGTCATACTCTCCCATTAGTCCAGAGTCTTCTACAGAAAGTTACAGAGAGCTGGGCGTACATATCAACAGCAGAGCACTTGCCTAGAAAGTTGCCAAGGAAGTCATTAAGAATTGTAGAAGAGGGGGCTGGGGATTTAGCTCAGCGGCATAAGCACCTGCCTTGCAAGCAGACAGTCATGAGTTCGATCCCTAGTACCGATAAAAAGGAAAAAGACAAAAAAAAAAAAAAGAATTGTAGAAGCAAGGTCTTACTGAAGTTACTTTAGCAGGGAGCCAGAGAGGAAAAGTGACTTACTTAAGATTACAGTGCTTGGTGCAAGACAAAAGTCTTCTGCTGGCCAATTTAGTTGCTGTTCTTGGCATGCCTACCACTATTCCTTTCTCAAATGTCCAATTCACCTTTGGTGACTACTGGTGAGCCAGGCTCTATATTGCAACTTCTCCATTGCTTAGTATCTGCTAAGCACCCAGGAAATAATCTGATAGAGCTCTGGAAGAGCACTGTGCTCCTGATGTGTGATTTTGCATTAAAATAAGAAATACATACAGATTGGAGGGGTAACTCATGGGAACAGTGCTTGTCTAGCAAGCACACAGAACCTGGTTTCAAACCCTAGATCTTCAAACCACACCCCCAAAACAAAAAACAACTATAAGCTCTACATGTATGCCATTCATGCACGTGTACATGCAGATGGTACCTGGCACAGTTACTAAAACCCTTGGAAGCTCTAGAGTGTCGAGAGTCTCTTGTACACTAATGAGATGACTGGCAACTGGGAGCCCTTTGGGGTTTGGGTGGGTCATCACAGAGACCAAAACACGATTAGACAGTCAGCCTGTTAGCTCCATGCCCCCACTTCTGGGATAGGGAAGGGGCTGAAGGTGGAGTGAGTTGATCTCCAGTGGCCAATGAGGTGACTAGTCATGCCTGCATAATAAAGCCTCCATAAAAACCCGAAAGGGGAGAATTCCAAGAGTTTCCAGATGTTGAACTCATGGAGATTCTAGGAAACTGTACATCCAGAAAGTATATCAGAGCACCATGCTGTTTCTCTTTTAACCTTGCCCTATATAGCTCTTCCATCTGACTGTTTATTTGTATTATTTACAATACTGTGAATTGTGTTTGGTCTGGTTTGGCGGAATGGGGGATTGAACCCAGGGTCTCCATACACTGAACTATATCCCCTGCTCGCATTATTTTCAGACAGTATCTTGCTAAATTGCCCAGGCTGGCCCTGAACTTGTGATCTTCCTGCCTCTGCCTCTTGAATAGAGGGGAGAATTGAAATTTTTTCCATCTTAAAGGAAGAAATGTGCACTTGAGGCAGAGCACATGCCTATAATCCTAGCACTCTGTGAGGATTATAAGTTTTGAGTCTTATAACTTATAAGTTATAAGTCTTATAAGTCTTATAACTTACAAGTTATAAGTTTTGAGGATTATAAGCTAAGGTAGGAGGATCACAAGTTTTGAGTCCAAACCTCTGGGCAACTCATTGATTTAACAAGACCTTGTCTCAAAATAAAAAATAAAAAATTACTGGTGCCACATTTGGGAGTGATGGTGCTGGGGATTTACCTCAGTGGCGTAAGTGCCTGCCTTGCAAGCGAACAATTGTGAGTTCCATCCCTGGTACCAAAAAAAAAAAAAAAAAAAAAAAAAAAAAAAACCACACACACACAAAAAAAGAGATGTAAGACTGTAATCCCAGCACTTGGGAGGCTGAGGCAGGAAATTTGCCAGTGAGACCCTGTCTCAAAAATTAATTAATTACTAGTACCATTGAGCCTCAAGTTTAGACTTAAGAAGTAGTTTAGAACAAAAAAAAGTTACAGCCAAACAACTTTGCCAAACAAAAAAGACTATGAATGAAAATTTAAACATCATCTCTAAAAAAATGTTCAGGGGGCCAGGAGTTTAGCTCAGTGGCACAAGCACCTCCTTGGCAAGCACGATGTCATGAGTTTAATCTTCAATACCAAAAAAAAAAAAAAAAAAAAAAAAAAAAAGCTCAAGTACTATAGAATAACTTTGGAAAATATTAATATTACATGGTGAAAAGGCAGAAGACAAAAGTTCATAGTACATAATAATTTTTTTTCTCAGTACTGGGGATTGAACCAAGGGTCTCTATACAGACTTATATCCTCAGGCCTTCTTTATGCTTATTTTGGGACAAGGTCTCACTAAGTCATGAAGTTGCCTTGAATTTGCAATCTTCCTGCCTCAGCTTCCCAAAATGTTGGGACTAGAGACATTTACCTGCAGGCAGGGTGTTCATACTATATATATATTTTGGGTGGGGGGGAGTACTGGGGATCAAACTCACAACCTCGCACTTGCAAGCAGGTGCTTATGCCACTGAGCTAAATCCCCAGCCTGACTCATGTATATTATAATTAAAACTAAAAATATAAGTTTATGTAGTGGCACACACATATAGGCCCAATTACTCAGGGGGTAGAGGCAAGAGAAAAAGTTGAGGCCAGGAGTTCAAAGCCAGCCAGAGTAACACAGGGAGACCCCCATCTCAAAATAAATAAATAAAAATAAAGTAAAATAAAATATGGAGCCGGGCATGGTGGCACATGCCTACAATCCCAGCACTTGGGAGTCTGAGGCGGGAGGATCATTGCAAGTTCAAGACAAGCCTGGGCTACAAAAATGAGCCCGAGGCCAGCCTGAACTGCATACCGAGACCCTGTCTCAAAAAGACAAAATAAATAAATAATACAAAATAAAATAAAATAGAAAGACTAAAGCTGGCTGTGGTGGTGCATACCTATAATTCCAATACTCTTGGAGGTTGAGGAAGTTGGATCAGAAGTTTGAGCCCATCCTGGGAAACTCAGCAAGATGTTATCTCAAATACTAAACTAAATGGCTGGCGATACAGTTCAGCATGAAGACCCTGGGCTTAATGATCAGTGCAAGAAAGAAAGGAAAGAAGGACAGGCAGGAAGAAAAAGGGGAGGAAGGTAGACAGAGAAAGATATTCAACAAGGAACCACTAGAAGCCTACGTTTCTAATAAAAACCACTCTACTGGTGGTTTAAAGTTCTAATGTTAGAGAAAGCATTAGACAAATACTCAGAGTTTCTCTGCCAGTGTGGTGTGGTGGTACATGGCTATAATCCCAGCACTCAGGAGGACAAAGCAGGAGGATCACAGTGAATTCAAGGCCAGCCTGGGCTACACTGCAAATTCAAGGCCAAATTAGACTACACAGCCAAACTCTATGTCAAAACAAACAAACAAATAAACACAAAAAAGAAAAAACAACCAGTACTTGAGAGGCTGAGGGAAGAGAATCTCCAGGAGTTCAAGGCCAGTCTCAACTACATAATGAGTTCAGGGTAAGCCTGAATTGCATATCAAAACCCTGCCTCAAAAAAACAAATAAATGGGGCTGGGGATTTAGCTCAGCGGCATAAGCGCCTGCCTTGCAAGCAGGCAGTAGAGAGTTAGATCCCTGGTACTGATTAAAATGAAAAAGACAAACAAAACAAATAAATATAAAAAAGTTTCTCTGCCAAGTGTGATATGGCCTTAGGTAAACCATTTCTCCTTGGCACCTCCATAGGATCCACAGGGAGAGTACCCCTCTTAGTGCTCTCAGGGCACTGAGCAAACTCAGTAAACTGAGTTTAAAATATAAACTGAATGTAAAAATAAATTTAAGTCAGGCGTGGTGGCTCACGCCTGTAATCCCAACACTCGGGAGGCTGAGGCAGGAGGATGGTTTCAAGTTCAAGATCAGCCTGGGCTACAAAGTGAGCTCAAGACCAGCCTGAACTGCATAGAGAGACTCGTCTCAAAAGACAAAAAGAAAGAAAGAAAGAAAGAAAGAAAGAAAGAAAGAAAGAAAGAAAGAAAGAAAAGTTTAAAAGTCACAGTATAAGCTTAGTGGCAGCACCTGCCTGGCAAGCAAGAAGCCCTGAGTTTGATCCCTGGTTACCCCTCCGCAAAAGATAAGTTTAAAACAACATAAACTGTCCTTTCATCAATTTTTTTTTGGGGGGGGGGTCTTTTTGAGACAGAGTCTTAGTAAGTAGTTCAGGCTGGCCTTGGGCTCACTTTGTAGCCCAGGCTAGCCTAGAAATCACACTCACAGTGACTCTCCTACCTCAGCCTCCCAAGTGTTGGGATTACACACATGGGTTACCATACCTGGATGTTTTTGGCTTTTTGAGATACGTGTTGCTAAGTAGTTCAGGCTGGCCTGAAACTCACTATGTAGCCCAGGGTGGCCTCAAACTTGCAGCATTCCTACTGCCTCAGCCTCCCAAGTGCAGGGATTACAGGTGTGCACCACCATACCTGGCTAATTCTTCATAATTTTTGATAACCACAAATAACTAAGAAGATACAAAATTTATATGTATCAAAAGAACCAGTATCAATAATGTTATACAGTTACTAGATTATGTCTTCCACCACCAACACAGCTGGACTAATGGAGCAATACAACAGACATCTTAAACTCCCAAAAGAGACAAAGGAGGCTCATCACTGCTCTCTTTTTTTGTGCCTCCTTTGCCTCCCACCACTCCATCTCACCTGGGGCTGTTTTCCTTTCAAAATGGGAATTTTGAAAAAGTCCCAACCGAAGTCAACCAGAAAATGGAAAGACTCATGGAAATGAGCATGCTGTTTTTTTTTTTTTTTTTGTCTTTTCCGTTTTTATCGGTACCAGGGATTCAACTCATGACTGCCTGCTTGCAAGGCAGGCGCTTATGCCGCTGAGCTAAATCCCCAGCCCGAGCATGCTATCTGCTAAGAAGAGAGGTAAGTTACACACCTGTCAGAGTATAGAGAAACTGCTCTTCTCCCTGCTCTACTTGGTTCCTTCTGTTGTCCAAAACCTTCTTGACGGTGTCCATTAGGCCAAATGTATGTGCTACATTGTTGAGGACAGCTGCATCTATTTAAAACAAAATACATGCCTGTAAAATTCAAACAGTAATGTCCTACTAGCTCCCTATTAAGCCACTTACAAATATCAATTGACCCAGAAATTATAGGACTCTCCTTATTGCTACTCTGTGTGTGTGTGTGTGTGTGTGTGTGTGCGCGCGCGTGTGCACGCACATACACATGCACACATGCATGTGCATACACATGAATAAGATACAATCCAGTCTTTTTTGTTCGTTTGTTTGTTTTGCAACAGGGTTTCAGTATGCCTTCCTGGTTAGTCTTAAACTCACTACACAGCCCAGGCTGGCCTCAAACTCCCAGTGATTCCCCAGATCAGTTTTCCAGAGTGCCAAGATTACAGGTGTGCACCACCATGCCCTGCATTTTCTTTTCTTTTTTCTTTTTTTTTTTTTTTTTTTTGTCTTTTTCCTTTTTATCGGTACCAGGGATCGAACTCACAACTGCCTGCTTGCAAGGCAGGCACTTACACTGCTAAGCTAAATCCCCAGTCCCGCCCTGCATTTAAAAAAAAAAAAAATACTGTCTCAAAGCCAAGTGTGGTTGTTCATACCTGTCAACCCAGTACTTGATAGGCTAAGGCAGGAGGACGACTGCAAATTTGAGGGAGGGTCAGGTTATATAATGAGTTCAGGACCAGCCTGAACTACATAGTAAGACCTTGTCTCAAAGAAATGTTTAAAAAAAGAAATCCACCTATAATATACTCTCTCAGCCTGTTTCTTCCCTGGTAGTTTTCATCTCAATAAATGGCATCATCATCACATATATCAGGTCTGTTTAATCCCCAGAACTCTAAAACAGAAGGGAAAATAATAAATATATGGTATTACCACTCATAATTCAGGTAAAAAAAATCTATGAATTATCCTGTGTGTCTTTTTTTTTTTTGGTACCAGGGATTGAACTCATGACCTTGTGCTTACTAGGCTTTTGCCATTGAGCTAAATCTCTAGCCCCTAGACAGTGTCTTACTATGAAGTTTAGGTGGGCCTTGAACTCACTTTGTAGCCCAGGTTGGCAATGAACTTGCAGAAATCCTCCTGCTTCACCCTCCCAAGTGCTGGGATTACAGGCAGAGTGCTGGAATTACAGGCATGCACTACCACACGTGGCTCCCACAGCATTTCTTGCTTGGACTAATCTTTTTAAATTTTCCAATGGGTCTTTCTGTTTTCATGCTTGAACTATAGTCAGTCCTCTACATAGCAACTTGAGTGATTTTTTTTTTTTCTTTTTCCTCTCTTTTTTACTTTCTGCACTATTGGCAATTGAACCCAAAGACTTCACACTGAACTACTCCTTCATCACTTTTTATTTTTTGGACAGGGTCTTGCTAAATTACCCAGGCAGAGCTGGGTATGGTGACACACGCCTGTGATCCCAGCACTGAGGAGGCTGGGACAGGAGGATCACTGCAAGTTTGAGGTCAGCCTGGGCTACACAGTGAGTTCCCGGACGGATTGAACTGAACCAAACCAAACCAAAAACATGGTTGGGTGTGGTGATACTCACCTATCATTTCAGCACTTGGGAAGCTGAGGCAGGAGAACTGCCTTCTATTTGTTCAAGGCCAGCCTGAATTACAAAGTGAGACCCTTTCTCAAAAACAAAACAAAATGGAATGATGCACTTATGAATAGGGAACAGGTGTCTTAACTTTTAAGAGCCTCAATTTTCTTTTCTGTACTAAATAGATAATAACATCTGTATATCAGTATTGTTGTGAGGCTAACAAGACCCGCCACCTTTACGAGTTCTCAATAAATGCACACTGTGTTTAGGATCAGCACACATACCTGTCACCTGGAAGGGAGCCTGGAGAAGCCGCTGCTGAACTCCCCTGAGCAGCTCCTCTATTTCCTTCTGGATGTTGCAGACAACCTCCTCCATCAGCCCTACATCAGCTATTCCTTTCCAGAACATCAAAGTGTCTTCTGGCACAAGAAGAATAAGACAGAGGTGAGCAAAGGATGCTAACAAGATACCTCTATAATGTTAAATCAAAAGTATTCAAAAATATTCCTTGTTAGGTTATTTCTGGGCAAAGGAAAGCAACTTTGAGGACACCATCTACCTCCCTAAAATGGTACTAATGAAATGACTTTTTCAGACCTTCAGGGGCTTGGGATGATCACTCAATTTGTCATGCCCTCAATTTGTAATGGCTCTGCTATAAAAATCAACATGCTCCCCACTAATAATATTAAGTTAGATCTTAAATAAGCATTAAATATTATTTGATTAAATTAAAATTTAATTTGAATTATATAATATTTATTATAAAAGATAATAAAGATAGTCAAATAAATATTAAGATATACTCACCCTAGTCCTATACTTAAGAAAAACACTATTTGGATAAATAGGGCCATAAGCTCCCTGCAGGTAGTAGTAATGTACCTAGCTTCTAGCAACACAGCTAACTAAAAAATAGGTAATGATAAATGTTTATTAGAATAATTAATAAGTGGAGGGTAATTTGAACCTCTTCTGGTCTCCTTTAAGTGTATCATTAATTATCAGCCTGTATACCACTTGCTACCTAGTTTTCCCTTCTAACACCCTGAAGCCTAGTTTAGCTAAGAAATGTGCCCAAGTCAGCAGCAGTTTGATAGGACAAAAAGCATGGACCAGAGAGTTACACAGCTGAATTCAGTTCTGACACTTGGTGGTGGTATGACCAGGCTTGGGCAGCTGGAGAGCCTTTCTGAACCCCTGTTTCTTCCTGTGTAAAATGTGACTTAGGGTGGTTATGTGGATTAAAATAAAACATTTGTAGCTATAGTTAGTATTCATATGCAATGAGAAAAATCAGCAAAAGTAATTAACAGCTCTTCTTTTTCTATGATCATAATGATGATGAGGGTCAGAAAAAATCTGCCAGAGAGCTGGGCGGCAGAGAAAGGTACCTGAAATTTCCTCAGAGTCTTTCTTCACACCCTCCTCGGTGGCCATGGTGACGGCAGCAGTGAGAGCAGAGTTCCACTCCAGCCCCGCCTCCTCCATGCTCTCTTCGGAGATGGCGATCTGTGTGATGCCACCTAAGGGGAGCCCATCCGATGAAGAGCCAGTGAATTTGATGAGAGAGGGGTCATCATCCTCTACCTCACACCCATCCCGAGGCCTTGTTATTCTAACACACTCACCTCTTGCCTGCGGATCTCTATTTTTAAAACTAGAGTCATGGGAATAGGGAGGCAAATATTAGATTTTCTTTAAAAAAAAAAAAAAAAAACCAACAAAGAAACAAAACAAAACGAGAGGGCCAGGGATTTGGCTCAGTGGCATAAGTGCCTCCCAGACAAATGTGAGGTTGTGAGTTTGATCCTGGGTACCAAAACAAAACAAAACAATAAAACTTGCCTTAGAAAAGAAAATGCTTTTGTTTTTAGGCTAGAAAAGGAAAGATAACACAACATGGCAATCTACTTCCTGACCAGATGCTTTTGAAAGAGCCCAAAGATAGGCATGGTTGCAGGGCTGCCCATTCAGGTTCCCCAAGGGCTAGGAGGACAGGAAGTAATGCAGGGGCAGGGTGTTTTGCCAGGAGCCCTGCTCCATGCACGTTCAACACTACGTACCTAAAATGTATGATGCTGCTATGTCATATTTTTTTTTTCTTTTTTTTTGGTCTTTTGTCTTTTTATCGGTACCAGGGATCGAACTCACAACTGCCTGCTTGCAAGGCAGGTGCTTATGCCGCTGAGCTAAATGCCCCAATGCTGCTATGTCTTATTTATCAGCCACCAAAGAGAAAGCAAGAAATGGAGACCAAAAAAGTCAGGTAAGAGATCCATAAATAACAGATTCACAGAGAAAAAGAACAAAGCAACATCTTTACTATTGATTGTCTATGAAGATTTAAAACAAAAAGATTGGGAAAAATCAAACTGATCCAGACAGCAATACAGACAATGTAGACTCTATGCACTTAAGCGCCTGCCTTGCAAGCAGGCAGTTGTGAGTTCGATCCCGGTACCGACAAAAAAAAGAAAAAAATCGAACAAAGGAATAATACCAATTATAATAATTAATAATCAAGTAAAGCAGTTTTGGCCAAAGAAAAATGAAGTGACTTATTTTAAAGCATTTTTTACTGTTCAAGTCAAAGAATCAAGAATCCAAACTGTTAGAAATTTTATACTTCCTGAACAGGAGTTAGGTTACAAGAGATTTAGCATGTATTCACTCTGGTTACTCAGAAAATATTAGGACTGGCCAAAAGAAAAGTTGTGTGTATGTGAGAGGGGATGACTAGGCAGTGAATCCCCACATTCCTAGCCCTTTTTTTTTTTTTTTGGTCTTTTTCTTTTTTATCAGTACCAGGGATTGAACTCACGACTGCCTGCTTGCAAGGCAGGCGCTTATGCCGCTGAGCTAAACCTCCAGCCCCTCCTAGCCCATTTTTATTTTGAGAAAGGCTTGCTAAGTCACTAAGTGAAAGGTTGTTGTTTAAGCACAGTAATTCCCTAACCTTTTAGCTCCTTAAGCATTCATGTGACTCTCTGTTGGGTATATTTTAATTTTTTTTTTTTTTTTTGGTGGTAACGGGAATTGAACTCACGAACCTCGTACTTGCTAGGCAGGAACTTATGCTGCTGAACTAAATCCCCAGCCCCTTTTTTGTCTTTTTTGAGATGGGATCTCACTATGCAGTTCAGGCTGGCCTTGAGCTCACTTTGTAGCCCAGGCTGGTCTTGAACTCACAAGGATCCTCCTGCCTCAGCCTCCCGAGTGCTGGGATTACAGGTGTGAGCCACCACACCCGGCAGTATATTTTAAATTTAACAGCAGTATTTGATGCACCTTTTTTTGCTGGAAACAGTCTCTCAGTATGTGTTCCAGGCTATCCTTGAACTGGCAATCTTCCTGCCTTGGGCTCCTAGTGCTGGGAATGCAGGTATGGGCCACCATGATGCACTTTATCCACGTGTGCTATGGCTTCAGCTCTGAATCTTTTAGTACAATTTCTCACATAGTTACATCCTTCCTGGATGATGATGAGGAAGAGCCCTCGGCTCCAGCTCAACAAGCCTGAAATTAAGTGGGTGCCCATCCTGGTTATCTGTCATGAAGCCTCAGGGGCATCAGGAACCACTCAGGCAGAGTTCCCTAATCCTGACAGTGGCATCTCCATAGTCCAGGCCAGTCCATGGTGCATGGGCTCTGACACAACACACTTCAGCAGCTGAAAATCAGTTGTCAGTCTATTTACTACACCTTCCTTGCTAGACCACTACAGAGCAAAGGATTTTTTTTTTTTTTTTTTTTGGTACGAGGAATCAAACTCGTGATCTCATGCTCGCCAGGCAGGTGCTGTGCCACTGAGCTATATCCCTGGTCTGAGCAAAGGATTTTTAAAACAGTCTAATTTCAGCCTTGATATGTGAAATGGCATGCAAGTGAGATCACCGCATATGCATTATAAATATGGAGTATCTTTTAATGTTTACCATGTATTGTCAAAAAAAAAAACAAAACAACAAGAGTCAGGAATGGTGGTGCACGCCAGTAATCCCAGCACTCTGGATGCTGAGGCAGGAGGATCACCTCAAGTTCCAGACCAGCCTGGACTATAAAGTGAACTCAAGGCCAGCCTGAACTGCATAGCAAGACCCTGTCTCAAAAAAAAAAAAAAAAAAAAAAAAAAAAAGAAGGAGCCAGGGATGTCTCTCAGTGTAGAGGGGCCCTGGGTTCCATCCTCAGCACCACAAAAAAGGCAACAAAACCATACAAAACAACTTCACAAAACACAAGGAAGAAGATCTGTCCAAAAAGAATTACTTAAGAAGAAGGTGGGGGGAATCTGTTTCCGAAACACAGACTTGCACCCAAAATTATCATACCTTCCAAGGCACATCAATGCTCATAAGAAGTGAAATTAAGAAACAGCAGCGAGAAATGAGGGCAAGTGCTGCTGAGAAGCACAGCGGGTTTTCAGGTGGTTTCCTACCCCCTACCATCGGCCGAAGTGGGTGTCTGCACCACACTTGTTTGCTGTCCCGGCACTGGAGCTCGCGCACTGCTAATCAGAAGATCAAATTTGGTGCTTCGGCAGGTATTGGAGCACACTTTGTCATGCTGGTAAAAGTCAATCTGTCCAGAGTCCATCATTTTCCTGTAAAGGAAGACAAAAAGTACTGAATCAGCCTGTACTTCCTCAAGACAGAACTGGGACCACATCGAAGAGGCTACTCTAGGATTGGTGAAATCTAAGGGTATCAGAAGTCATTAGGCTGCAGAACTTCTGAGTGGGACTACCAGCTTTTCATTGGTCCTGCCTGCATTCATCAGTACTTCCCTTTTCTTCTGAGCTTACTGATTGCAAGTACTCCTTCCACTTGCTATTACCCCTGGTCTTCAGGTAGACACTAAGAACGTTACAGGATTCTGGGTGTGGTGGCCCATGCCCTGTGATCCCAGCACTCAGGAGGCTAAGGCAGGAGTTCAATATAGCGAAGAGAGGAACTGAGATGTATTAAAGTAAAAAGATAAAAATTATGCATTCTTTCCATCTAATGACAAAGGAATAGGACAAAGAATAAAAGGTCTTTATTGTAATAAGATAAAGGGAAAAAAATGTGTTCACGTGCACAAATTGTTGTAAATAATGGAATCCTGATTCCCAAATGTAGAAAAACAGCTTTAAAAATAGGTAGGTTAGGGCCAGCGATTTAGCTCTGCCTGGCAAGCACAAGGTCACGAGTTCGATCCCCGGTACCAAAAACAAGAAAAAAAGAAATAGAGAACAATGTTAGTTATACTAAACCTTCTCTAGAAAATATCCTTACAATTGTATCCACAAGACAAACACTGTTATCATAGGCCATGGACAAAGAATCAGGTATGGGCTGGGATATAGCTCTTTGGCATAATGCCCACCTGGCAAGTGTGAAGTTGTGAGTTCAATCCTCTGCACACAAAAAAAGAAAAAAAAGACAGTGTTTTTTTTTTTTTTTTTTTGGTACTGGGGATTGAATTCACAACCATATGCTTGCTAAGTAAGTGCTTAGCCACTAAGCTAAATCCTCAGCCCCTAAAAAAGACAGTATTTTAATTACAGTAAACTGTGTTACAATGTCATTTGGCTTTTGCTAGATTTCTTTTTTTTTTTTTCTTTTGGCTTTTGGTTTTTTGAGACAGGGTCTCACTATGTAGCCCAGGCTGGTCTACATACTTGCAATAATCCACCTTTCTCAGCCTTCCAAATACTGGGATTATAGGCATGTGCCACCACGCCCAGCACTGGAATGCATTTTTTAAATTATGTATCTTGATATTAATGCCATTTTATCATGACTGATGTAACTGTGATAAATTGTGGGATTGGGGAGGGTTGGAGCTCTACTTTTGTTCCTTCATCAAAGTTGTTTAGACTATTCTGAGTCTTTTTTATTTATACAGAAATGCAAGAATCAAAATGTTAATCTTTATGAAAAATGATAGTTGACAGTTTGATAAGGGATTATGTTTTCTGATCTTTATTATTTTCTTCTATTCATTTTTGGTTTCATTCTGTATTTAAATAAAAAATTATGTATCTCTGACAACAAAATTGCATGTGAAGAAGAGATTTAACATTTTCTGTAGAAAATATAGAAAACTATAGCTGGGTGTGGTGGCTCACACTTGTAATTCCAGAGTTTTGGAAGCTGAGGCAGAAAGATTGCTATATGAGCCCAGCCTGGATAACTTAGTGAGTCTTAGTCTCCAAATAAAAATTTAAACTGGGAGTGGTGACACATGCTTGTAGTGCCAGCACTTAAGCTGAGGCAGGAGCTTACTTGAGAATCTGAGGCCAGCCTGGGCTACACAGTGAGTTCAGGGTCAGCAGTGAGACCTTGTCTTTAAAAAATAAACAAATAATCAAACAAACAAACCAAGAAAATAACTGTCCTTTAAAAATTTCCCACAATGTTTTGGCATTAAATTTTATTTTCTGACTGGGTGTGGTAGCACACACGTGTAATCGCAGCATTCAGGAGACTGAGACAGGAGGACTGCTGTGAGTTCAAAGCCAACCTTAGCTACATAAGGTTCAAGGTTAGTCTGCACTAGTGAAACCCTCAGAGGGAAAAAAAAGTTTTTTCTGTGTGTCTGTTTTAACATAGCTAAAATCACAGTGCTTAGTCAATTTTTTTTTCCGCCTCAGAACTAGAGATTGAACCCAGGGCCTCACACATGCGAGGTGAGTGCTATGCCACTGAGCTGTATCTCCAGTCTGCTTTGGTCCATTTGTTGTTGTTCCTCTAGAGACATAATCTCACTATTTGGCCCAGGCCAGCCTTGAAACTTAACTCATTGCCCAGATTTGCCTCAAACTCATAGCCCTCCTGCCTCAGCTTCCTGACTAGTGGGATAACATGTGTGCACCACCACATCTACCTCATCAATTTTATTTTTATTCCCATTACATCATAAGTGTTTTTCCATGTAAAAACTCCTCAGAAATATTTTAAGGATTATAAAATAACCCTAGGATTCATATTTTTTTCTTTACTATGGTCATATATATTTAGATAAACCTTTTTTTTTTTTTTTTGTCTTTTTTGAGACAGGGTCTCGCTATGCAGTTCAGGCTGGCCTTGAGCTCACTTTGTAGCCCAGGCTGGTCTCGAACTCAAATCGATCTCCCACCTCAGCCTCCCAAGTGCTGGGATTACAGGCGTGAACCACCACGCCCGGCTGACAAATCATAATTTACTTTTAGAAGTCCCTTCACTACATTAAAGCAGACTATAATTTTGATGATAGTAAACAATGTTGAACTGAATTTTTTATGCTTGAACCTCTACAAGCATTATAGATTTACCTCAGGATAGATAATTTTACAAAGATTTTAAAGGACAAAGGGGCTGGAGATATAGTTCAGTGGCACAGCGCCTGACTGGCAAGCATGTGGTCCTGAATTTAATTCCCAGTACCAAAAAAAAAAAAAAAAAAAAAAAAAACAAGAAAGGGAGAGACAAAAAGATACTTGTAATTTTTGAAAACATTTAAAAATTTTCTATCAGTAGGTGAGTGTTCAAGGAATATCAACTAATACTAACTTTCAAGGAGGGAAAAACTATATTGGCAAACTTGTTAACAAAAGGAGCCGAGGGTGGGGATAGTCCACATTCTGATGTTTGTCTCTGAGGTGGCAAGAACTCATTTGCTGCATGGAACTGTTACTCCCCAACTGCACCCTTCTAGTTGACCAGATTCTCAGGCTGGTCAGGCAGCCTACAATTCCTGTCCCTGGCTGGCCATCTTCAGCAGGACTGTCATCTATTCTGAGCTTCTCTACCCAAGACTGAATCCTACCCCACATCTTGAGATCAGAAAAATTTGCCCTAGATCAACTTAATCTTCTGTCTCTCCTGATTTTTTTTTTGTATCAGGAATCGAACTCAGGACCTTGTGTTTGCCAGGCAGGTGCTGTGCTGCTGAGTTATATTCTTGGCCCCTCTCTCCCAACAATTTGAAGATAAACTGAGGGCTAGGAATGCAGCTCAATGATAGAGTACCTGCCTCATATGTACAAAGTCTTAGGTTTGCACGGGGGAAACAAAATACACAAAAAGAAAGATTAAGAGTAAGCTGAAAAGAAAGAACAAGTTGATGAAGGTCAAATAATGCATGGAGCCTGCATGACACATTCCCATAATCCCAGTACTTGGGAGACAGAGGCAGAAGGATCATTTTGAGTTCAAGGCCATTTTGAGGGACTCTTAACTAAAAAAAAAAAAAAAGAAAAAGAAAAAAAAAAGCCAGGTGTAATGATGCACACTTGTCATCCCCACACCACTCGGGAGGCTGAATCATGAGGATTGCCATGAATTTGAGGTCAGCCTGGACCACACAGTGAGTTCAAGGCCACCTGTACTACAAAGCAAGACCCTGTCTCAAAAAAAAAAAAGTAAAGAAAGAAAAAAAGCAAGCAAGCAAGTATGGAATGCACAAGCCAACCCTTCACACATATGTCAAAGAGAAAAGACTGGATTTCCATGATTAAATGTCCCAAGTTTATTGAGAGGCATATGCTTGCCTGTAATGCTTACCTGAGCATGATTCCACCCAAACGAATGGCTCTCTTCCAGTCCTTCAGGGTGGACTTGCCAGCCAGATGAACAAAATGCTTAGGGCTGATCAGCTGATCATTAAACTAAAGTAAAAAGAAAAATCCAAAGTAGTGCAATGCCAACTTGGTCAGGTCAAGAAAAAAAGAATGAAATGATAACTTCACTTGTCATGTGCAAAAAATACTCAAACAAAACTGTAATTTTTGTTGTTTTATCTTTTGAGATAGGGTCTTACTATGTAGTTCATGCTAGCCATGAATTCATGGGGACCCCCTGGCCTCAGCCTCCAAATGCTGGGATTATAGGGTGTGTGCCACCATTCCTGACACAAAATCTAATTCTTCTTTTTTTTGGTGCTGAGGATCAAACTCACGACCTCACACTTGCCAGGCAGGCACTTACAGTGCTGAGCCAAACCCCCAGACCAAAACCATACTTTTGATATGGCTTCCCTGTGTCAATAATGATCCTTCTATGGGTACAGTGCCCTCTCCTGGCACACAGCTATAGAACACAATGAGCCTCCGGCCTACAGAAGCTCAGAGATGGCATTGATCATTATCTAGAGTCCACTCACACCCTCAATTAGGCGGTTGGGGCTAGCATTGCAAAAGCTGATCAAATAGCTGGGCCAGGCGGCATATACTGTATTCCTAGCACTCAATCTGAGACAGGAGGATCTTCATGAGTTCAAGGCTAGCCTGAACTATATAGGAGATCTTGTCTTAAAACAAAACAAAAAGGCTGATCAAGTAAGCTAAAGTAATCTATTCAGCCCTAAGTATACAATTCAGGATGACAGGAAGAACAAGTACAGAAGAAACCAACATAAGTTCAAAGCCCAAAAAACCTATAATTATTAATCTAGGGTGACGTCATTATGCAGCACAGCTGTGACCACCAGTGGAGACAGAATAAACATCTATTTCTACATTATTCACTCGTGAAGATTACTTATTTTTATCAATAATTTTGAATAAATCCTATCCCAATTCATGCCAATGTGTATATATGCATGTATATATGTTTATACAAATGACTCTATTTGAACATGACTCTATTTGAACATTAAATAATTTTGTTAAGGGTCACTCAGTTAGTGATAGAGATGGGATTCCAATAATTCATTTAATGAACAAATATTTATTGATCATTATGAAAAACCCAGCACCATTCAGGCTATGGATATAGCCCAGTGACCAAGTACATACTTAGCAGATACAAGGTTCTGAGTCAATTCTCAACACATACATACCAGAAAAAAAAAGAAGAAGAAGAAAAAGAAGCAATGGGGTTTTTTTTGTTTGTTTTTTGTTTTTTTGAGACAGGGTCTCACTATGCAGTTCAGGCTGGCCTTGAGCTCACTTTGTGGCCCAGGTTGGTCTCAAACTCACAATGATTCTCCTGCCTCAGCCTTGTGAGTGCTGGGATTATAGGTGTGAGCCACCACGCTTGGCTAAGAAGCAATATTCTATGTGCAGAGTTTATATTGGTAAATAAAAAGACAAATTCTCTGCTCTTGTAGGATTGCTATGCTAGAGGGAGTTAAATCCAGGTCAACCTCATTTTAAAATGTTGGTTTTTTTTTTTTATCCTACTATGAGTAACACAGCAGAATATTAGTATAAATTTAAAACATTGATCTGGGGCTACAAAAGTTTTCCTTAGCTGAGCTCAATTTCTCACATTATATATATATTAAAAAATTTAGTAGAAGAGAGTGGGAAGGCAATGCAATGACACCTTTGAAATCAAAGAGCCCCAAGAGAGGCCTCAGCAAGGAGACAGTTACCTTGACACACTTCACATTTATTCCTGGACATACAAACTTCTTCCAGAGGAGGATGGCTTTGCTCTCCCCACAAGTTATGGGGTAAGCAATTTCCATGTCCTCATTTGCTTCTATAGTGCTTGCATCTGAAAATAGGAAAAAAAGTTACTTTATCAGACAAGTTTTCCCCAAAGCTCAAATTGCAAATTTCTAATTCTCTGGTTTCTCCATCACTCTCTGTCTTTTTTTTTTTTTTTTTTTTTTTGGTACCAGGGACCAAACTCATGAGCTCGTGCTTATCAGGCAAGCACTTGGGCCGCTGAGCTAAATCCCAGGCACCTAATCAGTTGCTCTTGCTGTTGTTGTTTAGGACCCTGTGGAAGAAGTTTGGCAGAACAACTCGCCCTTAGCAAGCTTTCACTATCTTTCACTATGTACTAAAGCCCACATTATCCACTTTTACACACATTGTTTAGTATTGATTAATTCTTAGAATAATCTTGTGAGGCAGTAATTGTTTCCTGTGCTTTATACAGAAGTGTATGAGCCTCAGAAAGATAAGCGATTTTCCCATGATTTTCCCATGGACATGCAGCTAAGAAGTGACAAAGTAGGACTCAGGTTTGTGCATTTCAGAGTTTCTCCCCGCAGGAGTCAACACATCATCAGTCCTGAAGGACAACTGCCCTGAGCACAGGGCTCAAACCCAAGGCTCCAATTTCTTTTTTCTTTCTTTTTTTTTTTTTATCGGTACCCGGGATCGCACTCATGACCGCCTGCTTGCAAGGCAGGCGCTTATGCCACTGAGCTAAATCCCAGCCCCGGGCTTTTTTTTTTTTTTTTTTTTGGCTCCAATTTCTTTGTGGGTTTCCGTTTTTATTTTTTACTTTTTAAATTTTTGATACTAAGGATCAAACCCAGGGTCTCATGCATTCTAGGTAAGAACTATCTCTTTGTGGCATATTTATGATAAAAAAATCTTTAGGGGCTAGGGATTTAGCTCAGTGGCATAAGCACCTGCCTTGCAACCCGGTGGTTGTGAGTTCGATCCCCGGTAACGATTTAAAAAAAAAAAAAAATTTTTTTTTTCAGGCTGTATGTGGTGGCACACCTGTAATCCCAGCATTTGGGAGGCTAAGGAAGGAGGACTGCCTTGAGTTCAAGACCAGCCTGAACTACATAGTAAATTCAAGGCCAATCTTTATTACAAAGTGAGACCCTGTTTCAAAACAACAACAAAAAGACTGTTTTCAGCTATGATAGCAGACTGATGTTAAACAATCCACTGGTAGCCCTGGGATCTCAACAGCATCTCAAGAAGTGCCACTACTGGTAGGCACGCAGGATGGGGGAAGACAGAAGGTACAGAAGCCACGAACTCTCAGACTGGTGGTGTAGTTCACTGGTACAGGGCTTGCTTAACATGTGCAAGGGTTAGGGTTCTATCCCTAGCACCAAAAATTTTTTAAAAAATAATCTCAATCAAAGAAAGGATACTAGAACAAAGACTTACCAATTCCTTCTTCAATTTTGTGTATCGTGTGGGTTTCTACTGCTACAACTGCCGTGTTGTTCTCCAACCCCGGTTCATAAATCCTGTTGTAAAAGTGTCCATCGATAAACAAACTATATGAATCATGAAAAAATTAATATTCATAACATAGGGTTAAAAAATTTGTTTTATTCTATCTCAAGGGAATAAATACATAGATACACTTTAAATCTGGGCCTGGTTGCCCATACTTCTAATCCTAGCACTTGGGAGGCTGATGCAGGAGGACTGCTACAAATCTGAGATCAGCAAGAGCTACAAAGTGAGGTTAAGGCCAGCCTGAACTACCTAGCAAGACCCTGTCTCACAAAACAAACAAACAAAAAATAAATACACACATACACTACTCTACTTTTATGTAGAGTAATGTAGAGTAACTAATGAACACAAGATTTTATCTCAACTTTACAACTCCACTTTTGATTAGTTGCTCATTGCGTGTATGTATTTTTGTGGTACAGGGGATCAAAACCATGGATCTTTGCACTGAGCTACATCCCCAGCCTTTATTTACTTATTTATTTTTGGTCTTTTTGAGACAGAGAACTATGCAGTTCAGGCTTGCCTTGAACTCGCTTTGTAGCCCAGGCTGGCCTTAAAACCCTGTCTCAAAAAAAGCAAAAATAAGCAAAATAAATAATTTAAATCAGAGTGGTGGCGTGCTTGCTTAGCATGTGAGACCCTGGGTTCCATCCCTATTACTAAAAATAAATAGGTAAACAAACATTTTAATTCACTTCACCAGTCTTATGTCAGAAATTGTTTATAGTAAGCTTGGAGTGTAGCTTATGGTATAGTATATGCTTAACAGGCACAATCGCCAGCACCAAAGAAGAAATTATTTACCTCAATTTTCCTTTAGATCTTACAATGTTTTGTTCACGTTTAACAATATTCCAAATGTCGGGGGTGGAAAGGAAATGGGAAAAAAATAGAGATGTATGATGTACATGTATCAATTCACCACAATGAATGTAATCATTATGTTCTGCAAACATGAACTGACAAAAAAAAATTTTTTTTTTGTCTTTTTCGTTTTTATCGGCACCAGGGATCGAACTTATGACTGCCTGCTTGCAAGGCAGGCGCTTATGCCACTGAGCTAAACCCTCAGCCCCAAACTGACAAAAATTTTAAAAAATTCAAAAGTGGGAGCTGGGATTTAACTCAGTGGCATAAGCACAAGGTTATGAGTTTGATTCCTGGTACCAAAAAAATAAAAATAAAAATTTAAAAGTGTCAACAAATATACAGAAGCTGGTCATGGTGGCATACACCTGTAATCCCAGCACTCAGGAGGCTGAGGCAGAAGGACTGTTGTAAGTTCAAGGCTAGCCTGGGATACAAAGTGAGTTCAAGGCCAGCCTGAACTCTATAGTGAAACCCTATCTCAAAAGACAGAAAAGAAAGAAGGAACTAATGAACACAAGATTTTATCTCAACTTTCAAGTTCACAGTGTCTGAACTCTGAAGCACTTCCCAACTATGCCACTCAACACTTCTTAGATTCTGCCATGTAACCACTTTACATATGTCATGGTTTATGTCCGTGGCCCCCAGGCCTCATGCATTTACATTATGCACTTGTGATTGGTTCATTGTCTAGTGCTTGGATTGGGGGTGTGAGTGCTATACTGGCCAACGGGTAGAACCAGGATGTAATGTAATGGCAGGAAGAAGGTGTGTCTCTCTCTTGGCAGTTTCGGCCTTGCTGTTTGCAGCTGCCATTAACTGAGGCCCTGCCATGCCACCCTGCCTTGGAGCCAAATGAGTGTGGACTGAAACCTCCAAAAACTGTAAGAAATAAGTCTTTCCTTCCCCAACTTTGGGCATCAGGTATTTTGTCTCAGAAACGAGTAAAAAGTTACTAAGACAATATATATATGTATGTATTTTTTGGCTTTTATAACTAGACTGCAAACCTCACCATGATGAGAATCTTTTGCTAAATTTCCTCTAACACCTTCATAATACAATGTATACTTTCTTTTTCTTTTTTCTTTTGGAACTAGGAGGGATAGATCCCAGGTCCCCTGCACTGAGCTACAGCCCTTCTTAAATTTATTTTGAGACAACATCTCATTAAATTACTAAATTGCCCAGGCTGTACTACTGATCCTTCTGCCTCTGCCTCCCAGAGTGTGGAATTACTCTGAGTGTACATCAACATACACAGCTTGATATATACTTTTTGATAGACTAAGCTTGATAATCTGACCACTCAAGACCAAAGAGAACTACAATAGTACTTTTTTCATGCGTTTTTGGTACCAGGGATCGAAATTACAACTTCGCGCTTGCTAGGCAGGTACTTGTGCCACTGAGCTAAATCCCTGGCCCTCGCATGTTTGTTTTAGAAGTACTTTTGTAGTTGCCTTGCCCATTGCCTTTTGAGTCTAACTACACTGACTTTCTTAACATAGGCTGAGGGTCTGTGCTACGCAGTATGAATTCAGAGGTGATAGCACACTCTTATAATCCCAGGACTCTGAAGACTGAGGCAGAAAGATCACCTCAGCAACATACAGAGTTCACAGACAGCCTCAACTGCCTAGCACAACCTGTCTCAAAAACAAAAAACTACCCTGGCTGCTCTGCTTCCCTGCTAGCTGCCTTCTGCCCACCATGAGCTGTTTCTCCTCTGCCCTCTTGCCTTGGAGTCAGCCAAGTAGGAACTGAAACTTCTACAAACTGTGAATTACAATAAACTTTTCCTCCTTTAAAAAACAAAAAGGAAAGTAAACATGTAAGAGCCACCTAACTCACCCTTAAAGAGCTCACAGTAGGAAGTAGGGGATACAAGGAAACAGACAGCTGCTGTAGTAAGAGGTAAAATGCCTAATACATGATACACGTCAAGATGAAAACTCAGCCAGCTCTGGCACTGGATGTTCCACTGTGCTAAGCAACCATAAAATTAAAATTTCCCCACCCTTTAAACCTAAATTTTTTTCAAAACACTCAGCTCGCTAGCCACTTACCCCTGTTGCACAGGCTGTAACTGCAAGATCACTTGGGTTTTCGTGTCTTCAGGGTTCCCCCCTTCATTTCCCTCAGTGGGGACCACAACGACATCTCCCACTGGGACACTCACTTCTGCATTCGCCATTTTTCACATGAAGTCAGGTCAGCAGGGCTGCTGGCAGAAACAAGGAACATGAGTAACTTCATCTGCTTTGAAAGACAGCAGCAGTAGGGAAGGGATGCTGCGCTGATAACTACTGATTCCTTGAGGAACTTGGAGGTCGCAGTACTCTGAGAAGAATGGACTGTTAGGCAGATTTAGGCTCTAATTTTGTCAGACACACTTTTGTGAAAGGGTGGCAGCGCACGGCTATAATGCCAGCATTTGGGATTGCCTTCTACTTGCCAAGAAGGGAAGCTGAGGCAAGAGGACTGCCAGGAGTTGGAGGCCAGTCTGGGCTACACAGTGGGTTCAAGGCCAGCCTGAACCACAAAGCAAGATCCTGTCTCCAAAAAAAGAGGAGGATAAAATACTTCTGCTATTGTAAGTTTGCTTGCATCTGTCATTCATGCCAGACCCCACTTTGCCCACTCCAAGGAACTATCTGTGAACATTTCTTCTCAACTCTTGAGTTTAGTAAGTTGGGATCCACAATGGTTGGAACATATACACTACAAAAACTGATAGGCACCACAAATCAGGACTTTTATTTTCTTTTTTCTGGAGAACTGGTTTATAGCACACCACTAGTTTTACCCAAACAGTAAGGGTCTGGAAGGTAAGAATCTTATGTATTTTTTTCTGTGCAACTAGCTGTTATACCTCAACAAGTACCACGTACTCTGTCCTTTGCAGTATGGATTATGGGTAGCCCTTTTATCCACTGACTAACTGAACTGAGCTCTGTGGGAAGGGGGAGATAACTTGCATTGCATAGTCCTTTAATTTTTTTCCCCCAGTACTGGAGACCAAACACAGACCCTTTACACTGAGCCTTTACCATGGTCTTGCTAAGTCACCTAGGGCTGGTCCTAAACTTGTGACCCTTGTGCCTCAGCCTCCCAGAGAACTGGAATTACAGACATATTCAACACTACTCAATTTGCGGAACTTAATACCTCTTTGCCTCAGACTAAAAAGACACATGACCTCACCTGACAACTCCCTCAGAGTCATTGAGGAACCCAACCTCCAGCACCAAATGCTTTTTGATTTTAAAGCACATAACTAGGTTGGGTAGGTGGTGCACACATGTAATCCCGCATTTACCCGTAATCCTAGCACTCAGGAGGCTGAGGCAGGAGGATTATCTTGAATTTGATGCCAGCCTGGGCTACATAGTGCATCCAGGCCAGCCTGAACTACACTCAGAGACCCTGTCTCAGGAAAATAAAATAAAATAAGTAACTCAAAGCCATTGTTCACTTTTTGTTATTGTTGTTTTGTTTTGTCTTTTTGAGACAGGGTCTCACTATGCAGTTCAGGCTGGCTTTGGGCCCACTTTGTAGCTCAGGCTGGCCTGGAACTTGCAACAATCCTCCTGCCTCAGCCTCCCGAGTGCTGGGATTATAAAAGTGTGCCTCCATGCCTGGCTTTCAATGTTTTTGTTTTTGTTTTTTTAAGGTACTGGGAAGTGAAAATGGCCTGCTGCATTCCAGGCAAGTTTAGTACCACTAAGCTACCTCCTTTGTCCCAGTCTTAATGTAAACTCAAAAAGTCCCAAAATATTTTGCAGTTGTTAGTTTTTACAGCTGAAGAGTCATTTAAACCTGGAGTGGTGGTGCATGCCTGAATCCCAGCACTCTGAAAATTGAGGCAAGAAGATCACTGCACATTCGAGGCTAGTCTAGGATACATAGCAAGACTGTCTAAAAGAAAAGAAAAGGCCAGGTATGATGGTACACACATATAATCCCAGCACTTGGGAAGCTGAGGCAGGAGGACTGCTACAGATTCGAGGCCATTCTGGGCTGTGTAGTGAGTTCAAGGACAGCCTAAAATACATGGCAGGATCCTGTCTTAAAAAACTGAAAAACTGGGGGCTGGGGATTTAGTTCAGCGGCATAAGCACCTGCCTTGCAAGTAAGCAGTCGTGAGTTCGATCCCTGGTAATGATAAAGAAAAAAAAAAAAAAAACTGAAAAACTTTAAAAAAGAGAGAACATAAATGAAAGTACCTACATAGTCAAAGGACTTACACAATTCTCAGCTCTGCCACAGCATTTGTCCACTAAACAAATACTTAAGCATGCCACTCAAAGACAACTTCATTGGACTCAAAGTATTTTTCCACTGTTATCTGCACACCCAAAAACTGTGTCACACTCCAAGCATGGACACTCCAGCCATCCTACCCACCCACTGTACCCAGAACAGACACTTAGATAATCTCAGGTTTCTGTGCCTCTGTCATTCTCTAAGCCCTAAACAACTTTCTCTTGCATTTCCTTTTCCCTTCAAAGCTCAGTCAAAGCCCTTTCTGTGAAGCCATACTGTCAAAGCATTTTCTTTTCTGTATTCCTCCTCATGATCACACCGTGCCTGTACTGTTGCTCAGCATTTATGTCCACAGCTGCATCCTGCCTTCTGTGCAGACAGGTGCTGTCTGATCACAAGTTTTGTGCTTTCCATATCCGTTTGTCTTAGGCACTAACATATGTTGGTTCAGTCAGTTTGCTTATATATGACCTAGTTATCATTCCTCATATCCAATTTCTGTAGTTTATAATCCCACATTTGAATTTTCCCATGAATTGTATGCCACTGTATTCAGCCTCTACAGTCTTTTTTTTTTTTTTTTTTGAGACAGAGTCTCGCTGTATAGGTCAGGCTGGACTTGAACTCACTATGCAGCTCAGACTGACCTCAAATTTGTGGTAATCCTCCTGCCTCAGTCTCCTGAGTGCTGGGATTACAGTCCTGCGCCACCATTCCAGGTCCCTTCTACTTATTTTCATGAGCCAAAAATTAAAGAGTTATTTTTGATTCTTCTCTTTCTCAACCCAATCAAGCACATATCCTATCCAATCTAATATATATATTTAAATCATCCTCCCATTCTCCATCTGTGCTGCCATCCTATCTGGGCCACCACACTGTCACTTGGGCTCTTGCAGCTGCTTTTCATTATCCTGATCTCTGGACTTGGCCTCCACCTATTCATTCTCCACACAACAGCCAAGGTGATTTTACTAAAGATCACAGGCCATTTTCCACTTAAAAACCCTTCAGTATATTCCCATTGCTCTTAAAGGTGCCAATGCCCTCACGTGCCTCAGAATCTGTCCCTGCCTCACCCTGTCTCATCCTCAGCTCTTCCCACACTGTATGCTCCTAACACTACCTGTTTTCCAGCTTCTTAAATATTTCCACACCTGAGCCTCCACACTTGTTTCCTTCACCCAGGGTTCTTTTTGCCTCCCTTATTGGTGAGTTCCTGCTCATCTTATTATTTATTTAAACAACACTTCCATGAGGAGCCTTCTGTGACTTCCTGGGCCAGCTGTGTTCCTGCTCCCTCTGCACCTGCAGCGCCCCCGTCACAACCCCCAAGCCACTGCATCAGCCTCTTCCCACCTGACTGTACATTCTGGGGAAGCACTATCTCTTTATTTATCTAGGTTATTTTGGGGGGGGGGTAAGGTGGTACTGGAGATTGAACCCATAGGGTATTGCACTGAGCTACAATCCCAGCCTCTTTGTTAATTTTTATTTTAAGGTGGGGTCTCACTAAGTTGCCCAGCCTGGGCAGGAGTTTGTGCTCCTCCTGCCTCAGATTCCCAGAGTGCTGGATTTGTAGACATGGACCACCACACCTAGTTGTGACACAGTATTGCTATATTATCCAGGCTGGTCTTGAACTCCAATGATTCTCCTGCCTCAGCCTCCGAGGTAGCTGCAATTACAAGTACACAGCTCAGGGCTGCTTTTCATATTCAGCAGCTTCTCTGTGCCTACCACAGTGTACAGGTCATAGGAATGTAATGAAGGGGTTTTCAAATACCAGATACCTACCTGTTTTCTTCGGGGTTTTTGTGATTTTTTTTTTTTTTCTGTACCAGGTATTGAACTCACAACCTCATCCTTGCCAGGCAGGCATTTATGCCACTGAACTAAATGCCCAACCTGAGTTTTTCTTTTTTTGAGACAGGGTGTTGCTATGTAGTTTAGGCTGGTCTTGAATTTATGATAATCCTCCTGCCTCAGCCTCCCGTGTGCTGGGATTACAGGTATGCATCACCATACCTGGCTACCTGAGTTTTTCTAAAGAAACTTGGCATATAGCAACTATACAAAAAGCTGGTCATAGTGACACAAGTACTACAGAAGGCTGAGGCAGAAGGATCACAAGTTTGAGCAAGGTCTGAGCAATTTAGCAAAACTGCAGTATCTCAAAATAAGGCAGGGTGGCATATGCCTATAATCCTAGTATTCAGAAGGCTGAGGCAAGAAATTGCCTACGTTTGAGGCCAAACTAGGCTACATAGTGAAACCCTGTCTCAAAAAAACAAAACAAAACAAAACAAAAACCTTCAACTACTGAACTATACTCCCAGCTTCAAAATAAAACTAAAAAACAGCAGGAGATGTAGTTTAATGTGAAGGCCCTAGGTTCAATATCCAGTACCACAAAAAGAAAATAAAAAATATATATAATAAATTTTTGTTCCATGAGTGACATCTTATCCTTAAAGACTCATACAGTTTTCCAGGGCTGGAGATGTAGCTCTGCCACAAGTGCAAGGTCATGAATTCAATTTTCAGTATCAAAACAAAAGATAAAGTTTTTCACTTTCCTAATTTAGGGGATATAAGCTTGCTTAGGCATCTAGGCTAAACTGCATAGTTTACAGCCCATCATTATAAGCAGTTCAATAAATGATCCTCCTGTCTCAACCTCCTGAGTGCTGGGATTACAGGTGTACAACACTACGCCCAGTTCCAGCAGATATTTAGTCTACTCCACTTTATACTGAGTCAGATTCCTTGGCTGTGAAAGGGGGTAACAGCTACTCTTAGGGAACAAAAAATAAAAAAAAACAAAAACAAAAAAAAAGAGGAAAAAGATCCATGACACAGCTATTACATAAATTAATTATGTAATATTACAGTACACAATCTGAACTTCTGAAAGTTAAGGGTTTAAAGCTAGACAGAAAAAGAGACAGAAAATGAATACCTGGTTCACCTGGCTATTGGCAACAAAACCAAAATTAGGATCCTAAACCTAGACAAGCTCTCAAAAGACCATGCATGGTAGCACATGCATGTGATCCCAGCATTCTGGGAGGCTGAGGTAAGAGGATCACAAGTCTGAGCCTAGTCTGGACTGTTTGGTAATTTATAAGACTCTATGCCTCATGTCTATAATCCCAGCAGTTGGGAGGTTGAGACAGGAGGACTGCTGGGAGTTGGAGGCTAGCTTGGGCTACAAAAATGAGATTAAGACCAGCCTGAACTGCACAGAAAAACCATCTAAAAAAAAAAAAAAAAAAAAAAAAAAACACCACACATACACACACACACACACACACACACAAATGCCATCAAATTCTAGAATACGTAAACCAACAGATACCTTTAAAGTCAATCACAAAACTAGAGTAAATTAAAATAATACAGAGAATATTCATTGATTATCAAATACTAGTGTGTTACTAGAGAAGCAGCCAGAATACCCCTTTTGGGTCTCAAGGTGTGGGAGGGAACAGGAGTCCCTAAGGTGTTCATCAAGAACTTCATCAATGGGGATTTAGCTCAGCAGCATTAGCGCCTGCTTGGCAAGTTCGAGGTCATGAGTTCCACCCCCAGTACCACCAAAAAAAAAAAAAAAAAAACCTCCATCAACTGTTCATTCAATATCATAGAGGGTACTCAGTCTCAGACTAAAAGATAAAAGTTGAAATTAAGAGTCATTCTAGGGGCTGGAGATTTAGCTCAGCGGCATAAGCGCCTGCCTTGCAAGCAGGCAGTCGTGAGTTTGATCCCTGGTACTGATAAAAATGAAAAAGACAAAAAAAAAAAAAAAGAGTCATTCTAATTCTGCCTCTATAACCCACTAATTTACCTTTTTTCCCCCCTTCATTTGAAGTACATTTTTGTAGTAATAAAGCCCATAAGATTATCATATACTAAATACTAGGTTTTGTTTTTGTTTTTTCGCGGGGTGGGATCAGGGACAGTGAGTATTCGGGTGGGCTTTGAACTCAATATGTAGCCCAGTGTGGCTTCAAACTCATGATGATCCTCCTGCCTAACCCTCCCAGAGTGCTGGGATTAGTCTAGGCTACCCCATCCCGATAAATACTAGAATTTTATTTTTAATTTAAAGCCTATTTAAAATTCAAAACCCAGCACGGAAATGGTAGCTGATGGTAGAGCAACTTGCCTTAGCATGTTTGAAGCCCTGGGTTCTATCACCAACACTGGGGTGGGGGAGATCCCAAGCAAGATTATTACTTCAAAAAGTTGCTTGAAATTAAAAAAAAATAATAATGATAGCTTAGGGAAATTGATGGTTTATAGAAGTAGAAATAAATGGATGCTTCTAATTTCAACCTTTTAGCCTGAGACTGAGTCCCTCTGTGACATTCTGAATAAGTGGTTGCAGGAGCTCTTGATGAATACCTTCCTCAACAGGGACTCATATTTTGCTCCTGACCCTCCCACACCTTGGAACCTGAGAGGAATGTTCTGGCTGCTTCTCTAACTTCCCAAGACTATGAAAGATAATTATAATCATCTACAAGGTCTTCAGTGTCTGTCAGAGACACAGGTCTGACTCCACATGACAATTCTTTAGAGAAGCAAGTTTGGGTTGAATATCTCTCATTACCCTAAATACCATATTTCTGGTGAGTAACCTGAAACCAGCTCCCTAGACTAGTCACTGGCTAAATGCAAGGTCATCTCTAAACTGAGTCTAAATTGAAAAGTATCTCTTGTTTATAGCAACAAAAACTCCCGAAGCAAGTGAATTGATCCTTTGGGTATTTCATCGAAGGACCTTAACAGTCTTCCTGTGAAATCAGGTAACACTGTCTTTAACTCTAGGGGATGCACATAAAGGAAATATAGTATATATAAGATTGAACTGAGAGCCTTCTCCCTCAGGTACATAACCAATGCTTTTTTTTTTTTTTTTTTTGTACCAGGGATCCAACTCATGACCTTGTGTTTGCCAGGCAGGTGCTTATGCCACTGAGTTAAATCCCTGGCCCCTCCAATGCTTTGAGTGTTTCCCTAAACCACTAAATTTCTCAGCTCCTGGGCATGATGGCACTCTCCTGTGATCCCAGCATTCAGGAGGCTGAGACTGCAGGATCACCTCAAGTCTGAGGACAGTCTGTGCTACACAGTGACTTCAAGACAAGCCTGAATTACACAGCAAGAACGTGACTCAAAAAAAAAAAAAAAAAATTACAGGCATATGCCTCCACATCCAGCTGGAAATGGTCAGATTTATATGAAAAGACTTATTTGAGGGGTCAGGGGCATAGAGCTCAGTGGTAGAGTATAGGGGTTAGCATGTCTAGGCCCTTAGCTTCATCCCTAGCACCAAATCAAAATAGTTATTTTCAAAGACAAGACATTTTGAAAGTAAGTAATTACTTTTCTGACAGTAAAAACTGTCAGAAAACTAAATGAATGATATCTGATTTTGTCTGAATTAAATTCATTTTTGTGGGCCAGGGATATAACTCTGTAGCACAGCACCTGCCTAGCAAGTGTGAGGTCCTGAATTTGATTCCTGGTACCAAAAAATAAAGGACAAAATAAATTCATTTTTATGTGTCCTGAAAACCCATGTCTAAAATACAGCAAGAAAGCACAAACATCACGACTGTAGGAATATTGGAACTGGTAGTTAAAAAATGTCAGATATTTGTAAATTTTCTAATCTCAGAATATATTTACTCCACACTATATTGTAACTTTAGGGGTTTTTTTGTTTTGTCTTTCTGCGACAGTCTCTCTATGCAGTTCAGGCTGGCCTTGAGCTCATTTTATGGCCTAAGCTGGTCTCAAACTCACAACCATCCTCCTGCCTCAGCCTTCTGAGAGCTGGGATTACAGGCGTGAGCCACCACACCCGGCTTTGTTTGGTTTTTTAAAGACAAAGTCTTGCTATGTACTGGTCTTGAATTTGCCATAAGCCTCGTAAGCCTCAGGTCTCAGTCTCGGGTCGCTGGAATCACAGGTACGCACCACCATGCCTAGCATCTATTGTTAACTTTTAAACCTTACAGTATATTAAGAAATTTCTAAATTAAAACTTTATTAAGACCAAAAGTCTTTACATTTTTCTTTATTCCTCCCGATACATTTAGTAGGTGACCTACAGTGCTACCAGATGTTATGAGGCCAAAAGGCACATAACACAGAACTAACCACCAAGAGGGAAATACCCAGGGTAAATGAAGATCAGGTTAAATTAACAGAGAAGCGGCAACTGTACTATAACTATTTGGGGGAAGAAATGAGATAGCTCTTTGGAGAGTCATCCCACTAGAGTTCAGGAGAGCAAAACAGGGCCCAAACTAACACGAATAAGTTGAAAAGTTAAACATGTAGTATGTCTGCTAAAGGGGCTGGGGTGTAGCTCACTGGTAGAGTGCAAGACCCTGAGTTCAGTACCCAGCACAACCAAACAAAATGTGTTTGAAGTAAATACAAATAACAAATCGCCTTAACACAGTCGACAGCAAATACACAGAACTAGTTATGTGGCTGACAAGTCAGGTGGGACAGTTCAATTCCTGCATGAAAACCTCCTATAAAGGCAAGGGGCGGCAGACATGTAAGAAACCTCTACTTCTTGGCCCTCCTAAAAAGACACCATCAAAAGTCTCTTATGTCTGCTACGGAGCTGCCTGAGATTTCTCTTCTGAGAGACTCCTGATTCCTCGGTCAAATCCGGTGGGCTTTGCCCTTGTCTCTCCTGTTCTTCAGTTAGATGACACCTGGCCAATTAATTCCCGTCATCTCAGAAAGCCCTTATCTTTCCCTCACTTATCTTAGGTTTCCCCACCCTGCTCACTACCTATGCTCGGGCGAGCACTAGCTGCCTGTTCCTCTCAGGTGAACCCTCTTATTCCCTCTTCGCGAGGCACCGAGTGTCTCTTTGCGGCCGCCTCCTCTGCGGGAAGTCCGAGGGCTGCTCACTTTCCCTTGGAGCTCCTTTTCGTCCCCCAGCCCACGGAGGGGACCTGGCTCCTTTCCCCTCGGCTAAGTGACCGGGCCTCCAGCGCGCCCCTCCGATGGCGACCGGACCCTCGCTGCCCGCGCAGAGCACCCTCTCTGCGCTCGCTCCGATGGTCTCCTCCGGCGGCCTCCCAGCTCGCCGCACCGCTGCCCCCTCCCCGCAGGGGCCCAGCCACTCCCAGCTTTTCGCGGAAGCGCCGGGGCTCCCGGACCCCGCCCGTGAGGTCATCCCGGGCCCCTCGCCGGGGTCCTGGGCGTCCGGACGACTCGGTCCGGAATCGCACTGGTCCCTCAGCCGAGGACTTCCGGGCCCCCCTCTCTAGGGGCGCGGGGCCCCCCAATGCCGGGCTCGCCCGCCCCGCCGGCCTCCGCCAGGGACCCAAGCCCAGGCAGCGCGGCCGGCCGCGCTGGGGGCGGCCCGGCTGCTCGGGCGGACCCAGCGGCAGCGTCCCCCCACCCCCCCGCGGCGCCGCGACGTCCGCTCGCTCCCCGGCGGCGGCGGCGGCACGCACAGGGCGTGGGGAGGCGCCCGCGGAGGCAGCAGCCCCCCGCCCCCTGCGCGCCCGCCCGCCCTCGCCGGCCGCCGCGCGGCCCCCGCGTCCGCCCCCCCGCCCCCACCCCACCCCGCGTCCGCGCCCGCGCGCCCACCCCTCCCCCTCCTCACCGTCTCCGTCGGGCGGGCGGGCGGCGAGCGGCCAGGGCGGGCGGGCGACGGAGCATGCGCAGAGGCCGCCACGGCTGCAATCTCCACCGCCGCCGCCAGGCCGGGCTTCAACACTTCCGGCCGCCGCCGCCGGCGAGCTGGCACCTTAAAGGGAACGCGTCCCTATTTGACGGTCCCGTGGAGGCTAAACTTCACCCGAAGGACTTGTTCCTCTTGTGAGCAGAGGTCTTTGGTTCTTGAAAGGCAGTGCTGGAAAGGTCGCTAGGACCCCAGTAACTCCTCTTTCCCCATTTTGTAGATGAAGAAAATAAGGCCCAAGTTAAACAATTATCTCACCCACAAGCAGGGACTGAACCAGGTTTCTCGACTTCTCTGGAGGACGCTACACTTTTTATTCCCCTAATCCTGTTAGATTGAAGTTTACAGTTTTATCAGATTTTCAATTCAAGTTACCATGCAATTATCAATTTGGAATCAGAAAATGTGGCTGAGCACAGATAGATAACTGGTCACGAGTCCTTTAGCAAGCTTTACAGCCTCTGATCTGTGCCTATTTGCCCAGCCTTCCCAGCTTGTGAAGGTCTGGATTCAAGTGTTGCTTTTGCATATCAAACCAGGGACTCCAAAGCAGTGTCTGCAAGACTCTAAGCCTCTGCTTCCCAAAAGGGATAATGTGCGTGTCCAAATCAAAAATACATGAAATGTGCTTAGGAAAATTCCCGGGACCAGAATAGTAATAGTAACTAATAAATATACAGACTTTCTCAGCTGACTGGGGTGTGCGCCTGTGATCCCAGCACTGCCAGCGCTCAAGAAGCAGAGGCAAGAGGATTACAAATTTGAGGTCAGCCTGGGCTATTTAAGGAGACCCTGTCAAGAAAACAAACAAATAAATAAAGGGAAACAAAGCTTCATTCTGGATTAGAATGGGCACTGTTGATTGGTGTCAAAAATTGGTCCATGTGGCTGAAATTGAGACACAGGTCATTCTTTCATCACAATAAATGTTTGCAGTGGTGACAGTGAGACCTGTAACATTTTACCTAATAACCAAAAATGTTGACTTTCAATATTATAAATGAATGGTTAAGAAATACTATAGCGGGACCAGGGATTTAGCTCAGCAGCATGAGCGCCTCCCTTGCAAACTAGTGGTCCTGAGTTCCATCCCCATTATAGAATCTAGATCATGTGACAAAATACCAATTTTGTATACAATTCAAATTCTAGACTCCTAAAATATAAATCGCCCAAAGAAATTAGGTTAGTAGGATCCTAGGAGTTCTGAAGTTATCATTGTCCATAATTCAAGTGGAGATCAAAGAATTCTGGCAGGGCAGATGGAATGACTGGATTAAGCATCAGTTTCTTTAAAAGGACCATCTTGAAGACAACTTCATTAAAGTAACCTTGATGAGTATTAATAACGTGAAATTCCTTAAATAAAAATTTATTTAAATTTTTATTTTTTAAAAAAGAGTCAGGGGTCAGGGAAAAATAAGAGACAGAAGTCAAACAATATAATTAGATTTGGGGGACGAAACAACTGAAATTATTGCTTGGTGTTAACCTCTCTAGGATCTTGGCCAATTTACACTTCCCTTAACATTTGATTTTTTTTTTTTTTTTTGGTACTGGGGATCGAACTCACAACCTCAAGCTTAAATTTTGATTTCCTTATCTGTAAAATAGAGATAAGTATCCCACTATCCTCATTGTTTGTTTGTTTGGTTGGTTTTTTGGCTTTTTTTTTTTTTTTTTGAGATATGGTCTTGCTATGTATACAGTTCAGGCTGGCTTTAGGCTCACTTCATAGCCCAGGCTGATTTTGAATTTGCAAGGATCCTCTTGCCTCACCTTCCCAAATGCTGGGATTACAGGCGTGCACCACCACACTTGGTTTTGTTTGGTGGGCTATGGTTCAAGAAAGGGTCTTGCTATGTAGTTCTAGCTTTCCTTGAACTCACTGTGTGGCAAGGCTGACCTTGAACTCTTGGCAATTCCCCTGCTTCTGTCTCCCAAATGCTGGGATTACAAATGTGTACCACCCCCACCTAGTCAAAGATAGGAAAACGTCTAAGAAAATATGGACTAGTAGCCAAGCCTAGTGGTACACCTGTAATCCCAGTGTTTGGGAGATTGAGGCAACAAGAACATGAGTTTGAGGCCAACCTAGGTCCCTCAGCAGTACACTGAGGGCCGCGTGCAGAGGCTATCACTAGTGAGGTGTTTTAGGCTGGGGAGGAAGCAATGGTTTGGCACTTTGGGGACTGAGGGAAAGCAGAAGTGATGGCTTCGCTCGGACTTGTTAAATCCAGGTGCTGTGGTGATATCCAGATGAAGGTGTCTAGAGGAAGACAGACTGATTGGACTTTGGGACTGTTGTGTAAATGGATCACAGAAGCCAGGAGGGGATGGGGTCACTGAGAGAGACTGCAGAAAAGAGAAGACCAGATGCCAAAATCTGGGGAGCACCAAAACTTGAGGAACCCAGAGAGACCAAGCACAGTGCTGCTGAACAGAAGAGGGACAGGAAGGAAAGGAAAAGTCACCGAATTTGGCAACTGAGAGCTCATTGCTGTCCTCTGAGGTTCCCGGGGTGGGGGGAAGGCCAGAAGGTGGTGGATCAGGTAGTAAATGGGAAGAGAAGTACAGAAATGTCCAGTAGAGACCTCGGGTCACAATTTTATTGCTAGAAGGGATGAACAAGGCATAAGGCAGTAAGATGAGTGCTTTTGGAGGAAAGTCATGTGAAAATTTTTCTTTTTCCCACCTTAATAATTACATGTTTGTTGTAAAAAAAAATGCAAAGTACTTGAAAGGATGGGAAAGCACAGAAAAAAAAGAATTAAAAACCCACCTCTGTCCACCTCTGGCAAATTTCCTTCCAGTCGTTGTTTTTCTGCATGTTTTTCTCTTTACCTTGTCACTATGCAATTCCATGTTATACAGGGGTTTTTGGTTTGTTTTTTTTTTTTTTATCGGTACCAGGGATCAAACTCATGACTGCCTGCTCGCAAGGCAGGCACTTATGCCGCTGAGCTAAATCCCCAGCCCCACAGGGTTTGTTTTTATCTTTTCTGTTCATTAGACGTGGTTTCCTAAGTTGTCTTGTTTTGCTTGGTGCTGCCAACTAAGCCCAGGACTTTGTGCTTGCTAGGTAAACTCTCTACAATGAGCTGCACCCCAACTGTTCACTTATTTACTTTTAGATATGAAAGATACCTGGGTGTCCAGTCTGCTTCTAGCTTCTAGTGTTTTTTTCTTATGGTCTCTGCTGAAAATTTTTTGTTTAGATGATTCTATTCATCTGAGTGAATAAAAAGTTGAAGAGCCAGGGGCAGTGGTGCATACCTTTAATCCCAGCTATTTGGGAGGCTGAAGCAGGAGGATTGCAAGTTTGATCCCAAGATGCCAATCAGTAATATTCTGTCTCAAAATAAATAATAAATAAATATGTAGGGCTTCAGGTGTAGCATACCAGTAGAATGTGGCTGAGTTAAATCCTTAGTAGGGCCCCCGCAAAAAACCCTTGTACAAGGGGTATAATTTTGGGAGCAGATAGAGGTTTGGAGAGGTCCCATGTGGAACAATAGAGACATCTAAACCCTCTTGCAGAGACCATGGATGGCAAGTGGACACAGGCCCTCAGTGGCCACAAGCCAGTTTGTCAACAGTGAGCAGCCTGAGGGTGGAGATACCCAGGCTTGCTGAGAGCTAGCTGGCTGCCAAGCACTGCCATGAGATCTGATTTGTCCAACCTCACGGGTCTGATTATTCATCCCTGTAGTGATGAAAAGCTAAGCAACTAACCCAGCACATGTGTGGAGTAGCCTGTCTTCCTTCTTCCAGGGGCCTCTGTCACCTGAGTTTGACCTCAGCTGCCTGCATGCCCCTGTGTGACCTGACACTGAGAGCTTCTCCTGACTTGCACATTTGCTGTCCCCCTGTTGTCCCAAGGCTTTGTCCCTGTGCCTCCAACTCATGGACCATGGACCATGGGCATTGCTCTCCCTGGGTCTCACGCCTGACATACTGTACCTCGTGGTCTTTTCTTGGCTCATTTCCTAGGGTCTGATTCTGTCTCAAGCTGCACACCCTCCCTGGGCACTGTCTCCCACCTACACCTGATGGGTCTCTTCCCAGTCCGTGCCCCTCCCTGCCACAAGGCTGACGGGCCTAGAATATTGCCTGAAAGAGCACTTAAAAAGCAATTGTCAGTGGGGCATGGTGACATACCTGCAATTCCAGCAATCTGGGAGGCTAAGGCAGGATGATCACCATGTGTTTGAAGCCACCTTGGGCTACATAGTGAGACTGTCTCAAAAATCTGAAATTAATTAATTGAAAAAATTTATAAAGGACTGCCTAGGCTTTTGTATCTCCTTCCGTCATACCCTACAGCCTACTGCTCCCTTCTGTATCACCCATTCTCAGAAGGCAGAAATCACTAACAGATGGGAAATGAATCAGAAAAGGAGGCCGAGAGAAAGGAAGGAAGTTCTGCCAGTTGGTGCAAAAAAAGAAAAAAAAATTGAGGCTGAATCTCCATGGAGTCAAGTGAATCACCTCTTCCCCCAGCCCAGCCCAACGCTACCCACAGGCCCCACCACATCCAAAGGAAAAGACAATTCCTGGTACAGGAATCAGAAAGGACAAGGCTCAAGCCCTGCAGCCACGATGACCTTGAGGAAGGAGTCTCTGCCTCCTTATATGCAGAAGGAAGATGGACAGCTGTCACTTATGGAGGCTGTCAAAAGAAAATGAGGTTGGGGGCTGGGGGTTTAGCTCAGCGGCATAAGCGCCTGCCTCGAAAGCAGGCAGTCATGAGTTCGATCCCTGATACCGGTAAAAACGAAAAAGCCAAAAAAAAAAAAAAAAAAAAAAAAAAGACAGAAAATGAGGTAATCTGCGTACATACAAGGGTATTTAGGCAGGCGTGGTGGTGCAGGTCTGTAATCCCAGCACTCAGGAGGCTGAGGCAGGCAGATTGCTGTGAATTCAAGGCAAGCCTGGGCTATATAGCGAGTTGAAGGCCAGCTTGAACTACATAGTGAAACTACCCCCCCAAAAAAAAAGACAGAAAGAAAGAAAAGAAAGAAAAAAGAACAGTATCTAGAATGTAGTGAGCACTCAACAAATGCCAGCTGGATTGGTATGCTAGCACACACATAATAATACTAGCATCTAGCACTCAGGAAACAACAGGATCATGAGTTCAAGACCAGCCTGAGCAACATAGCTAGTTCTGGGCAGCATGAACTACATAAGCAATATCATGTCTTAAAAAAAAAAAAAAGGTGCCTGGGCTGCCTCTGCCTCCCAGCACTCAGGAGGCTGAGGCAGGATGATTGCTGTAAGTTCCAGGCCAGCCTGGGCTACAAAGTGAGTTCAAAGCCAACCTGAACTACATAGTGAGGCCCTGTCTCAAAAAGATGGAAGGAAAAAAAGAAAGAAAAGAGAAGGAGGTAGGGAAAGAAGGAGGGAGGGAGGAATAAATGTTCACTTGTTCCCAGTTACTCAGGCTTGTAGGAAGCTGAGGCAGGAGGCTTGAAAATTCAAGACTGGCCTAAGAAACTTAGATCTTATCTCAAAGTAAGAAAGACTGAGGATGTAGCTTGGTAGTATTTTGCCTCTGAGTTCTAGCCTAAGTACAAAAAAATATAAATACGTTAATTAATTAATTACAAGTTTTAAAGTCTGTGGATATAGTGGCAGAGCACTAACCCAGAATGTGGCAGCCCTGAGTTCCATGCTTGCGACCATGAAAAGACAAAAATGCCAACTGGTATTCTATTACTGCCCCACTGGCACTCACCACCCGCCAGCTTACTAAATCTAGCGCTCAGGCAGCACCGTCTCCACTGGCTCCAGGTCCTGGTTAAGGTGGCTTTGGCCAAGGTCTCCTCATCTATGAAAGGAGCCAGTGGCAGCTGTGCCTCACAGCACTTGCTCTCTTCCAGGCACTAGTGAGTCCCCCACGTACATTGTTTTGGTCACTGGAAAGTAAGTTTTCTGAGCTGGTGATAATCTACAAGCC